CTATGCATGTCTCTTCCTTTCGTTCTTGGTGTGGAAGCTCCCTAGAACAAAGTTTCCAGCATCAGAAAACATTACCTGATTACACCCAAACAGGTCCCAGCAGTTCAGTGGTCACTATACTGTACACCCAAACAAATGTGTCTGATTGTGGCACATATTGTAATCCCTTGCACAGCGACTTTACTAAAGCTGATCACCTGACTTTAGCTGACATATCATTATCAAGGGCCATAACTCTGTAAAAATATGATTTACGGCACCAATTATCAAACTCACCTGACATATCCTTCCCTTTCTTATCACCAGTGTGGAGATGTGTTTGAACATAGAGAATACATTTGTTTTGTTTTGTTTGTGAGCCTCTTCCTCCAGTTGATATGGTAACAGATACAGACAAACACCCGGCTTGCACAGAATGTCCTTGTACATATTCCTTCTACGCTCTGCATACATTATGTGAGAGAATTTAGGCTTACACCTTCCCCCCACCCCCATGACTCAACTCCCCAAATCATTCATCGCCAAAGGTTATACAAAAAGAGTAGCGAAGACCATGACTGAAGCTCATTGCACCTCCACTAAGGCCTTGGACAATCACAAGTGCACAAGTGGAAGGTCTTCGAAAGGTTATTGTCGTGCATGTGATATCACCACACTGACCACTGCTTCTCCACATGTTGCCAATACTTAAAGCACTTGAGGTCTACACGGCAGCTTAAGGGTTCCACTCTGGCTACACATCTCGCAGTAAGGAACCTTCACAAGTCTTTTGGTCCTGGCTCAACAGTTGACATCAGCTCATCTTCAGCAGAATCGCTATAAATATTGGACCGTCAGTCCTTTATTTATTACCCCCGCCATGAAGTGGGGCGGGGGATACAGGAATGGAGTTCATCCGTTCGTCTGTCTGCCCGCTTCTCAAAGAGGACAAACTTTCTCTAAGACTATTTTAGTTAGAGAAATGAAATTTTACACACAGACATTACTGATCATGATCTTTAATGGGTTCGAAAATTGGTGTCTAAAATTCATCTTTTACAGAGTTATGGCCCTTGCTCTTTTCTTTTCAACTTAGTGCATACTGCTTGAAATAAGGACAAGTTTTTTTCAGAAACTGCTGTAGTTACATGAATTAAACTTTGCAAGCTTAGCCAGGAGATACTTGTCAAAGACTAAGTTCGAAAGTTGGTGATGCAAATTATTGCAAAATATAGAGTCATGGTCCTTGCTAAAGATATGTCAGGTGAAGTCAGTTGTTCAGCTTGTGTATCGTCACAATGTACAGGATTACAATGCGTGACCCATTTGTTTGTGTACACTGGCCATGGTGATGGTGGGATGTGTTCAGGTGTCATGTTTTCTGAAACTGGAAACTTTGTTCTCTGATGTTTCCACACCAACATCGAAAGAAGAAGGAGAAATCCATAATGTAAGATAGGATAAGTATATAAATGTACAATTTAATGTAAAATTTTCAATTATATGGCTTGATGTTCCAGTCTCATAGGTAAGTAGAATGTCTTGAGTTATATGTTAAATATACAGGGAGGTACATTCATTGCACACTTGCATCCAAGTTTCATGAATCTTTGGAAGAACAATTATGTTATTTATTTATTTATTTAAATTTATCAGAGGTAAATATACACTTATTATCTCATGTGCATCAAACTTCATATATCCTACACAGTCTGCTGCAAAGATATGAATGAAATTTGATATTAAAATTTTTACACTAACATGCTAATCATATGAAAATAAATAATCACTCTTGGCAACTTTTGTGTTTGGACAGCAAATGATCATCAGTGTTTCCTGGTTTTATTGGATGGTGATCTGGGGCAGCACATGTCCGCTGTAGCTCATGTTTGTTGTTAAACAACTAATAAGGATTGGGGGTAGTCTGTCGTTCAGACCCTGAAACAAATATATCCAATACAGCCCGTGCAATATAGAATTTTGGCAAGTCTAGATTACTGCAGTATCAGTTAATCTGAAAATGAAGAAAGTCTCTGGGCTCCTTTTTGTTATACTTTATAACTATAATTTACAACTGTTTTTCTTCTGTAACATATGTTCATTTCAGAAATTAAATGTTAGTCTGGATTGGGTGCAGTGTTTGAACTAAAACAATTTGCCAGGCTGCCGTTAAGACTCGCAGACTTTAGAAGCTGCAGGCCCTGACTAAACTCTTCAGGCCCTGATTTAAAAAACTGTAGCTATTGTGACAAATAAACAAAACCTGAATTTACTGCAGGCCATAAGTACCGATACAAATTTGAAACTGGGCCTAACACAAGATTTACCTGCCACGGGCCTACGGGCAGGCACTTATTTCTAACACTGATTGGGTAGTAAAGATGTGTCACCTGGCTGATTGGGTGTCAGGTATGATGGCATGGATCGTTGCTCATGCTCAATTTTTTCATAAACCAAGTGAAGATTCCAGGGTAGAATAGGTCTTCAGCAACCCATGCTTGCCGTAAAGGGTGACTGTGCGTGTCGTAAAAGGCGACTAACCGAATCGGGTGATCAGGCTCGCTGACTTGGTTGATGCATGTCATTGATCGCAATTGCGTGGAATATTGCTGAGTGCGGCGTTAAACAACAAACCAACCAACAACCAACGATTACTTAAAGGACATAGTGGTGGAGTATGAGTGATATGTATGAATCAAATTAGTGTGATCAAGGCTTCCATGTACTGGTGGTTTGTCATGTATAATTGCGCCATGTTGGTGTTCGAAATTTTGCATGAACATTATGAGTTCCAGAACTTCCTTGTTGAGGTCCTAGTGTGAAAAAAACAAAAATTAAGGGACCCTATATTCTAGGGCTGGGACGGGTAACTCGGGTACTCGGGTCGGGTGGGTCCTGAGTAGGACCCGGGTACCTACATGACTACCTGGACCCGTGGTTAGTCAGGTGACATACTGTTTAATCATGTTAATGACATTAACAATGAAACCCAATGGCTACACTACAAGTATAGCTAATGTTCACATTTCTTTCTCACTATGCAGGCATTCGTTCTGGCCTGATATGTTCAACTAAGGATAAAGCGTCTATCAACTGCAGATTATACATGATCAGATTGTTTTATACATGTATCTAAATAGTTTTTGATAGGGCTGCGGTAAAACAATTCCCATTTGGACATTTTGTACCCAACTCTTGAGACCTATAGCGGGCAGCCGGGTAGGGCCGGGTAATAGGGTGGCGGGTACCCGAGTAGTAAATCTGGACTCGTCCCAGCCCTACTATATTCCAATACCATTATATCAAACGTCATGCACCCTGGGACCTCCCTTAGTTTGGAAGACCTAGAACATTATAACTTGGCTTATAGCATGTACAGTATGGATGATATGGAGATAGAGTCACGCACGGAAGCTCATCACTTCCTGCTGCAGCTGCTGCAACACAGTTGCAGACGAGGGATGAATACAAGCATGGAGTCTTTACTCTCATTTATTGCAATCGACATTTACACGTGTCATTCACACCAAAGTGAATTAAGAGATACCATTGTCATATATATTAGGATTAGCATCTGATTAACCCAGTGATGGAATAAATTGAAAATGTATACCATCATTGTCAAGACTTCACAGACTTGTGCAGACGATGTTCCTCTATCCTGATGAATGCATGGCAACTATATGGTGTAGTGCCATTTTAACCAATGAATCAAATTACAACCTCCTCTCATCAAGAGGGATTAAAATCGGCAATGTTTCTAAATTCATAACCTTTATGACATGGATCACAGCCTTGCAACCATTGGCTCTACACATTGCCTCAATGTCAGGCAATGGTAGGATTCACAAAAGGTTGCTGTACGGAGTAGGGTTCATATGATTATGCACTGCCTAAATTCATTAGTTGTCATACAGTAGATCCACACACTGTTTCATTCTGGTACCACAAATGGCTTATAATTTACCAGGCCATGTACAGGTAAAATTAAACCTTACAACTAATGGCCAGGAATTTACCAGTCAAATAGGCCATGTACAGGTAAAATTTAACCTTACAACTAATGGCCAGGAATTTACCAGTCAAATAGGCCATGTACAGGTAAAATTAAACCTTACAACTAATGGCCAGGAATTTACCGGTCAAATAGGCCATGTACAGGTAAAATTTAACCTTATTGGTTCAAAACATTCAATTACCAGTATTTTTAAGTGCTGCCGGTCCAGTGAACTAGTTAATGTATAACTGAACATATGCACTGGTACATAGTGGCTATATTTATTCATTGGTTATGGAGAAACATGGTGTACACAAGCCTGTGAGATATACCATGTATACTGATGATAGTATTACAACAAAGGTATGTATGTGATCCAGTACACTGTTGCACAAGTGGTTTGGTTATCACGGTTACGGTTGAAATAAATATTGCATGAAATGTAGGAAAATATATGCATGATTTCTAGTGATTATACGTGTCTGTCATTTCCTGATGTTGTTTCATATGCATTGATTTTTAACACTCAGAATGGTAATAACGACTTGTGTTTCATTTTCATTATTGTTTTTAACATGTTAAAATGTCATTTCCAAATAATGGTATTTTCATCTTACATTATTACAATGAATGATTAGCATGTGGTGACACTGAGGACAGTGGATTAACATCGGGGTAGAAACTAACGTTGCATTGGGATAGCACTATGAATCATTACCTCACCTCACCTCACCTCACCTCACCTCACCTCACCTCACCTCACCTCACCTCATAACCCCTTTTTTACTTGTGTATTTATCAAGTTTATGATCACAATCAAACCTTCCCCTAATATCTTCATCATGTTCATTGCTCAGAGACTTTGGACTTCTTTAAGCATGTACATTTTCATGGAACTTGAGTCTGAGATATCAGTGCTAGTTTCTACCCCTACGTTTGCTACTGACAGTCATCAGAAGGAGGCCCAATGCTGTGTTGGGAGCATGATTCACCATAAACATGTTCATAATCTCTATTATTACAGAAATTGTTCTTGAAATATGACAAAGACAAGGATGGAGAAATTGACTTCTCTGAGTTTGTCAACTATGTTCGGGAGCATGAACAACATCTCAAACTCTACTTCAAAAAGATTGACACAAACGAAGATGGTGAGATATTTGAAGCAACACAGATTTGTGAAACATTTCCCCGTTGTCATTGAGTGAGCGAGCGAGTGAGCGAGTTTGGTTTTATGCGGCTTTTAGCAATATTCCAGCAATTTCACAGCTGGGAACGCTAGAAATGGGCTTCACACATGTCGGGAACCGAACCTGGGTCTTCAGCGTGACAGGCGTACAATGTGTGAAGCCCATTTCTGGTGTCCCCCGCCATGATATTGCTGGAATATTGCTTAAAGTGGCGTAAAGCCATACCTACTCACTCACTCACTCACTATGAGAAACTATTTGTAGACTGATGTTTTCTTGTATAATCATGATAATACACATGTACCCTTGTACCTTATTTGAATTGTATGCTGTATCAATATTCCAAGACGTACAATGTGACATACTCCTATTGAAATACAGAAACCGAAATTGATTATCCAATGGCATGTTTTGTAATAGTTCTTTGGAAAAAGTTCTTTGACAGCCCCTTTGATTACTTCCTCTGCTTCTTTATGTAAGGGGCCGGTCGGGTAGCCCAGGGGTTAAAGCGTTCGCTCGTCACGCCGAAGGCCCGGGTTCGATTCCCCACATGGGTACAATATGTTGAGCCCATTTCTGGTGTCCCCCGCCGTGATATTGCTGGAATTTTGCTAAAAGCAGGGTAAAAACATACTTACTTGCTCTTTATGTAAGTGCAATAATCTTGAGTGTTAAACGCGTTTGGTCCCTTTGAGTTCGTTATAACCATTGTCTACTGTATGTGTAAATTAGGAAGGGTTGGTTCTTAAGATTTTCCCCACTGCTTGTATCAACACAAGTTGATTAGGGATCAGTTTGTCTAGCAGATTTATTATGATATATGATCCCATATCATACTGAGTTAATAATTACAACAAAAAAAGGTTTCTATTTGATGAGGTGATGTTTACAATAAAATAAAATAGTTGAGGGATTTCAAAGCCAAAGAACATTTCAAAATGCAAATATTTTATTGTAATGAAATTTTAAGGGCCTAACATATACATTGATAAGTACAAAAGTAATGTGAAATTACTTCTGCAATATTGTATTTGCAACATAACTTTTAAGCTCAATCTAGCAATGGATCAGGTTTGTGTAAAGAGTTGGTTAAGAGTGAGTGAGTGAGTATGGTTTTACGCTGCTTTTAGCAATATTCCAGCAATATCACGGCGGGGGACACCAGAAATGGGCTTCACACATTGTACCCATGTCGGGATTCGAACCCGGGTCTTCGGCGTGACGAGCGAACGCTTTAACCACTAGGCTACCCGACCGCCCCGAGTTGGTTAAGAGTTGAATCTGTTGAGAAATACCACTGTAATACAATCAATAAAATCTGTAATTGTATTGACTTTTATTTTAAATACTAGTATATGTCACTGTAGTAATAGGACATCATGTTGTAAGGTTGCTGTGCTACAACATCACAGGTGGTGCGTTTGCCTTGCGTTCATGTTCTCATTAACAACAGAGTTGGGTATTTCAATGGTTGTATGTCACTGATATGATGGAGTTAGCTTAGTAATGAAAATGTGTTCCCAATTAAAACATAGTCTGAAATGATAATATATATATATATATATGTGAGGACTAGGTTTGAACACTTTGGTAAATTGATTATGTCAATGAACCAGTGAGTGGTGAGATTTTTTCCCCAAGTAAGCAATATCTCCTTATACGGGAGATAGTATAGGATAATAAGGTGTTATGTTCTTGCAGAATTTCTTGGCTCAGTTTCATCAGCTAGAAATGGCTCTGATATTTTTAGGAGATAAAACCCATGTGTTTTCAATTTAGAGGCTTCAAACATAGATTTGGCATGTTTGGCAACTGTAAATTTCATTTAACCGAATGCAAATAAAAACATTACTGGTTTTGAATACTTTGTTGTTAATAGGAATGTTTGCTCTCTCACAAGCTGTTTTTAATTGGGGCAGATTGCTTCGAACAAGTATATATATCGTTCCTCACTGTTAATGTCTTTCTCTGTTCTTGTATTGTGCAGGTACAATTGATGTTTCTGAGATTCGGGAATCATTCCGCAAACTTGGCGTTCACATTGACACGGCTGAAGCTGAGAAACTGCTCATGAGGTATGTTCAGACACTTAGTGTGCCTCATAATGTCAATCACTGGCTTGTCTGGTCCAGACTCGATTATTTACAAGTCTACATCATGTAGCTGTAATATTTCTGAGCGCAGTGGTAATTAACAACCGAAAGTTAGTATTATACCTCCATAACTTCCAGAATGGACAAAGATGGAACTCTGAAAATTGACTGGAATGAGTGGCGGGAGTTTCTGCTGCTGACTCCTGGCCAGAGCCTCAAGGACATCCTGCACTACTGGAGGCATTCATCGGTGGGTACACACTCATAGCGGCAGTGCCGAGTGCAGTCTTGTCACCATAAGTGCTGTATTATTATTTGTATCAGGGTATGTGTGGTGGCATGAGTCTTGAAGGTGCCGCAGTTCGCTGTGCACAGTTGCTTCCCTTGGGCATGACATACACCTATGATCATGGGTTCGAATGCCGGTTCGCTCAGATTATGTTTTTAGGTTTGTCAGCGCCATACCCCTATTCAGGTGCTACGTAGTGGTAAACGTCAGACCTGCATCACTTTGGGCTTTCTTCCCACATTAACCTGGTATGCCGTGATATAACTGGAATATTGTTCAAAGCTGCATTGAATCCAACTCACTCACTCACTCACTTTCCAAGGTATATATTTCATCACATATAAATAACTAGACAACAGGGACCCGTTCCACAAAGTGGTCTTAGCACTTTCAGTCGCAAGCCTATGTTAAAGTATGGGTCTTGCGATCATCTTAGCGCTAAGATGGCTTTGTGGAATGGGGCCCTGAGATATTTGTTTGGCCCAAACTGGATCATCTATATTTATTATAGTTGATATCCTGGATAACATGATATATTTGCTTGGTCTTGGGTCACAATTCATAAACAGTTTGGTCATGTAACTCTACAGGATATTGCATCAGTCCAGTTATAGACGGCTGTGAATCTTTTGTAGAAATACTGATTGTTCTTCTATATATTTGTAAGTACTTTTTATTACAAATATGTCTGTCATAAAGCAATGCTTAATTTAAAATATCCCGTATTTCAAGCTGAGCCATTGAGTTATTAACTGGAATTTATGTTTGTGCCCAACGTTCACAGAATGAATCATTGTTTGAGAGAAAGTCAGTAGGAACTTTTGGAAACTTAAATGATAAATGGTGAATTAGGATTGAAAATAACCTGAAACTGTATGACTGCAGATTATCGACATTGGTGAGAACAGCTTGGTACCAGATGACTTCACGGAGAAGGAACTGCAGACTGGGATGTGGTGGCGCCACCTGGTGGCAGGAGGGGCCGCAGGGGCAGTGTCAAGGACAGCAACTGCTCCGCTAGATAGGTTAAAAATTCTACTGCAGGTGAGGCAACTGGTCTTCTCAGGTGGGTTGTTTTAGCGACCCTCTTAATTTTCAATACTTGGATTTGACCTACCAGATCCAAAAGCCTCAATCAGAATATGTAAAATGTTTTTATTTGCCCATCTGCTTTATCATCGATGGATAAGAAAAATATGAAAATAAAAATTGTGCAAATGCCAACGGGATTTTATGAGAAGTCTCTTGATTCTAGAAACACCTGGTAAAGGTAACAAAAACTCTTACATAAGTATACTACTCAAAGGAGATCAATGAACACTTGATTCTTTCATTTGACTATAGTTAGTCTGTCATGGCATGCTTGCCGTAAAAGGCGACTATGCTTGTCGTAGGAGGCGATTAACGGGATTGGGTTGTCAGACTCGCTGACTTGGTTGATGCATGTCATCGTATCCCAATTGGGTGGATCGATGCTCATGATGTCAATCACTGAATTGTCTCGTCCATACTCGATTATTTACAGACGGTTGTCATATTGGAAATTCCAGCCTAGTTCGGCAAGGGTGGAAACTGGACTTTTACAGTCAGTTAACTCCCTTGCTTCAGGAAGATGTATTAAACAACAAACAAACAAAACATTGCCTAGGGATCTCTTGTATACGTCTCATCAACTTGGGCATTCGTATCGTGACATATTTGTGATGCTCCAAGTCTTCGTTGATGCATTACACCTATCACAGCAATGTGTTTGATCATCTCCAGGTTCACGGGTCCAGGAAGAACATCAGTATTAAGTCTGGCTTCCAGCACATGTTGAAGGAGGGGGGATATATGTCCATGTGGAGGGGCAACGGCATCAACGTCATCAAGATAGCACCTGAATCAGCACTCAAGTTCATGGCATATGAACAAGTAAGTCACCAGTTCCTTACTCAACATCATTAGGGCCTCCTGGTAGTAATGAGACGTTATCCCATGCATCGGTGGATCACAATTTTCTTACGTCCCAATACAAGTATTGATCAAAGTCACACAAAGTTAAAAAAAACTCATAAATGTCGGCTTTAGTGACTGCTACACTTGCAAATACTAATTAGAAGTGTAAATGTAAATATTTTCATCCATTGTGCCAGAGTTGACACTGGAACATACTTGCCTGTATTTCAAATTTTATCCACCAGCCCTAGTTCCTGGGGATTCAGGGAAAAATAGTTCCCTGGTATCTGATGCTTGTCACAGCTGACTTCAGACAATCGGGTGTTGTGACTTGACTGTTTCTGTGGCTTGTCACTGGTTTGTCTAGACTTCATGTCGATTATTTTTCAGAATGCCATGATAGAGCTGGAATATTGCTGACTGGCATTAAACAACATTCAGTTACCATGGTTACTCCCTGTTTAAACTCCTGAGGAAGATTGATGGTTCAAGTGATTTTCTTTCAGGGCCATAATGGTCAATTTTATACAATTTTTGAACTTTGAGAATACACATACCAATTCTGTAATTTAGATTTGCTGCAATAAGTTAAGGCAGAATTTGATGAATTAATACTAGATATCACAAAATGAAAGGGATCTAATGAAGTATTATATTTTTACATTGGAGTGGATTACAATTAATAAGAAGCATCTTGTGGAAACATGTTTGGCGGTGGGGGGGAATATTTGAAATAAATTAAAAGATTGAAAAAATTCTGACGACCTGGATTAGGATGCTGTTGTGACTGTTGCTGTGTGAGCTGTTGCTTGAACAAGTTCTGACCTGTTCACTGTTAATTTATTCCTTTTAATAAGAACAATTTACATGCAAGGTAAACGACAGATGACAATTCAGCTAACTCCACAGTTGAAAGATGTTTTGAATCTCCATGATAATCTGTGTTGTGGTTTCCAGATCAAGACTTGGATCAAAGGAGATTCAAACCGAGATATTCATGTGTTTGAGAGACTTCTGTCCGGATCAGCTGCTGGGGCTATCTCACAAACCATCATCTACCCCATGGAGGTGAGACTTCTCACACACCTCTGCCTGGTTCTGTATGGGACTACAGAGTTCCAGATAAGCTGCGTATCTGCGTGAAATACGCATCAGAAATGCAGAAATACACAGTAAAATATAATCCAAGCGTATCAAGTACGCAACGAACATTACAGATACGCTACAAAAATAAAACTTGTGCGTATCATCAAAATATTGTGAAGTAACCCTGCGTTTTCGATTAGCAAATCAGCAACTTATTTTGAAATTATAAACGGGCATTCTGTCAACCTTGCCAACTCCACGATGACAGTTACATCATGATCATTTGCCATCACACTTTCTTGTGGAAGTATCGTGGTATTTTTGAGTCCTATAAAGCTCTCGAACCCACACGACACCAGTTTGCAGGGACTAGATGAATAGTGTTTTTAAATATTAAACTTAAAAACCCACATGTGTAAAAAGTAACAAGTGGGTAACAGAAATTTGAATACGCAGATAGAATTACTGATACCCAATGATTTTAAAATGCATGGGTAAAATACCCACAACACCAAAAGCTTATCTGGAGCTCTGGACTAGCTGAGTGGTTAAAGCATTGCTTCATCACACTGAAGACCTGGGTTTGATGTGCCACATGGATACCAGGAGTGTAATGATATAGTAGTACCGTATTCAACGTAATAAGCGACCGGGGCGCTCTCAAAATTAGAAAAAGGGGGCTCTTATTTTTATATAATGTTGGTGAGAGAAAAAACAGAGTTGAAAGATCATAAATGTCGTGGTCTATTCTGACAGCCTGAAATGATACCAAAGAAAAGTATGTGCGTATCATACATAACAGATATATTTTCCAGAATTTAATTGCCCTTATGATTAAGGGTGCATATAACACACTAGTGAGTATTATACACGAATAAATAAGTCTTGTTTACACTGATCAATCGGAAGGGATACCAATTGGGATTGTTCACTATCAAATATATTTGCAAATATCGCTGTGGGCACTTATTAGAGCGAGGCGCTTATTACGTCAAATACGGTATATCAAATTAGTGAACTGTTGTTTACCCTACAGTAGTATTATATCGATAGGAATTTTGAAATGCCAATAGTATCATTATGCAGATTCAAACCTGCCTGTGTGGTTGGTTCACAGGGATTACACCAACTTGAGATAAGAGTTACTTCCCTTTGGTTTGAGGAAGAAAATGTCTGGCTTTGACATTGTCCGCAATACTTGATTCATTTCCATTGCCATGATTACATTGATAAATACAAACATCAATACTTAAAGTTGATTCTATACTGTCTCAATAGTTTTGCAATTGTATGGGCTACTATTGCAATACAATCGGAATAGTGAAAATAGTTCCAATAGTCTGCCCTAATCATGCTAATGGATGCAATGTGTGAACCCCATTCTTGTTGTCCCCAGCCGGCAGGTGTATTGTCAAACACTTTAAAATATTTTGTTTAATTTGAAGTTGACAGCTTTTCAATTTGACGAGAGGTCGGTCACCTGAACGCGTAATTGACGTTCATAAGTGTATGAACGACACAATATGACGTTCATACGTTTTTCACGAGACCGTGTTGTTGAAATGACGTAAACACTGACGGACTACTTCCACATTCCTGGGGAAACCCTTGGGAATTTCCTAGCACGAATACGTACAGAAGCCTTTTTTCTGATCAGAAGAGATAAAAATGGGTAGCTAAGAAACCCTTATAGTGCATGCTGGTTTAAGGGTTCGTTGGAAAAGCTAGAAAATTTCATAAAGAATTTACTCATCATGATAAAAGAATATGATTAATACGTTCAACATTTTAAAAAGCACAGTATGTGTTATGGAGTGGCTTATGCAAAGTTCAGTAAGGCTGAAAAAAAAAAAGAATTGGTTCTGGGACAATAGCTTTTGAAAATATCGTGCGGACGGGCAGCTTTTTTTTGCCTTTTATTTTTGGTTGTGGCCTACAAACTAGTAAGAATCCAAATCGGTACATCGCTGTGTATAAGGCGAGTTTTTCATAACTAGAATTAGGAGGCTTTCAAATGGGGGTGGGGGTCGTCTTGTACACAGGGTTGAAGAGGGTTTTTTTATGGGTTTTTTTCTCCAACACAGACACATTACTGTGAGCACGTTATACCGGAAATACCATGTCGGTAAATGCATGCTGAAATACGCAATTAATCATGTAATTACACTGTCTGGTTGTAAAAAGAGTTCATAATATTTCTGGATTTATATGTGTAATCTATTTTATTAATTTTATTCAATATTGTGTCAATTCATTTCGGCGAAATGGTATGTGAAGTGATCGGAAGATCACACAACTCACCGTTATTTACAGCAACCACAGTCATATTACCACTATTGACGCCTTGAAACAAACTTTAGTGGATAGAGTATGGATATATATATCATATACCATTCATTGAATCGCTGAAAGTCATATTTGATGTAGTAATACTATTATATGTCAACATTAAGTTTTCGCAAACACGACCACGGGAGCATCAACAGTGATTGGTCAAATTCTTCCATATGAAAACATATCCGGCAATAGCGATCAGCTGAACCAAAGATCTACGCTTATGGTTATTAATTTATTTCACATGTATATAGTACATGGTAACATGATATTGGAATAAATTATTCTTGATAAAATTGTAGTTTCAGATACAATTCTTCCGCTCATTGTATCAAAATTCTTTAAAGTTATATTATTGGGTAATTTTTGACCGAATCACCAATAGATCCGAGAAACGTGTACAGCTGATTGCTGCTTAGTTTACGAGACGAGATAAGACAAACGATAATCTTAGTCTCTGCATATAAAACAATGCCAATCAGAACAGGAAATACAATTTAATCGGTAAATCATCATGTCTAGTGATGTTTTATCTCAAATTTCAAATTTGTATTGGCCAAGTTTAATTGTTATAATCTGTTCGTTTTCCTGCAGTAAAGCAGTGCACATGAAAAGGGAAGTAACTGCACGTTATATTGGATCGCATTATTTTTAAGTATTGTAGCATTTAAGTCCCCTTGGTCCCTAGTATGGTGATTTTAACCTTGTTGGCGATCTATAGCCCCATTTTTATATTGTGTCGTACCCCAATAATCAGATATTTTTAATGTTCTACAACTAGTTTTAAGTCAATCTGTGATATATAGCTAGTTATTATAACAGTTTTTATTAATATTGTATAACTTGTTCAAGTCACATAATGGCTGAAATATTGCCAACGTGACTTTAAATCTCTCTCACTCACTCACTCACTCACTCACTCACTCGCTCATTGATTATCTTCCTTGGTTTGTGTAGTTCTCCAAAGTAAGATCCATGTAAGATCATTTTAAGCTTTCCTGCCACATCAAGCTGACATGCCGTGATATAACTGAAAAACTGTTCAAAGCGGCGTTCAGCCAAGGTGTGAATGATCCATGTTAGTTTCATCGGAAGAGTTATTCCATGACTTGGTTCCTATGTACAGGTCCTGAAGACTCGCCTGGCCTTGCGGAAGACGGGACAGTACAATGGTGTGTTTGACTGTACCATGAAGATCTTCAAACATGAAGGCGCCAAGGCCTTCTACAAGGGGTACATCCCAAACTTGCTAGGAATCATACCATATGCTGGAATAGATCTTGCTATTTATGAGGTAAGAGTTATGAATATTCTATCCTTTAGTGCTTTGTTGGGGTGAATCGATATATCGGTGCACCTGTGCATTGTGAGTTTTCATGTGGTGATACGATACTTTTTTTCTGTATTGATACATGATGATATGCTTAATAAATTACTCACTATTTGTTTATTGACTCCTGGCTTTTTTGTCGGTCAGATATCTCAAAATGTGTTGTGATTAGTGTTTTAAGTTAAAGTAGCTTAAAATCGCCATGACGAACATGTGTCTACAGCTAGCTTTTCCTTTTGAAACTGCTCTGAAGTATTTATTGTCAGGAAGTTTCCATGCCATTTGACATAAATATGCGATAGGTATCGTATCGTGATACGTATCGTGACCTTGCTGTTTCACCTATAGTGCTTCAGAAATAAACACAATAGTGGTTGTGTACAGATTTTTAATGGCCCATGAAGATCCGGGTTAGAATAGGTTTTCAGCAACCCTTGCTTGCCGTAGGAGGCGACTATGCTTGTCGTAAAAGGCGACTAACGGGATCGGGCGGTCAGGCTTGCTGACTTGGTTGATGCATGTCATCAATCCCAATTGCGTGGATCGATGCCCATGATATTAATCACTGGATTGTCTGGTCCAGACTGAATTATTTACAGACCGCCATCATATAGCTGGAATATTGCTGAGTGCGACGTTAAACAACGAATAAACAAACAAACAAAACAGATTTTAAATCTAGCTGGTATATGAACCACCGACTTTCTTCTCTGAAGACCAAGGACTTGTTCACTATCAGTGGGGATTCCTATAAGCATGATAAGAATATAGTTCCCCAGCAATCTGCGATATGTTGAAAGGATGCTTCTCTCTGTTCTTAATATCAGCCTCACTTCCTTTGGACAAAATCGGGTCCACACTGTGCTCCTTTCCTGTGGGGGGCGGTCAGGTAGACCCGGCTTCAAATCCCAACATGGGTACAATGTGTGAAGCCCATTCTGGTGTCTCCAGTGTGATATTGCTGGAATATTGCTAAAGGCGGCGTCAAAACCATACTCACTCACTCCTTTCCTGTGGAACCCTCTACTGATTGAACTGTAGATTGTTTTTAAGGCCAAACTCAAGACATATATTTTTTAATAAGTACTTCCAAATATCACAACTGTTTGTGTGCGCTTTTAGCAACCACAAAGTGAATGGAGAACAGCGCCTTAGAAATAGACTTGTTATTGTTATGCTGTAGTCCGTCAATCATCATTTTGGCACCAGGGGCATGGGTGGTCCAGTCGTCTAAGGCGCCGTGATTTGCAGTGCAGAGTTGCATCCCTTGGGCACGCCAGAAACCTATGGTTGTGGGTTTGAATCCCGGTTCGCCCCGATTATGTTTCTAGGTTTGTCAGCACCATACCTGTGCTCGTGGGTTTCACTGAAGTGGTAGACGTCTAAGACCTGCATCACTTTGTGCTTTCCTCCCACATTAAGCTGACACGCTGCGATATAACTGTAATATTGTTAAAAGCGGCGTTAAACCCAACTCACTCATTGTTCTCGGAACACTGTTCAAGAAGTTTCCACTACCGTTCGAAAATGAGATGAGATAAGCAATAAGTATGAGTCAGGATAAGTATAAATGATACTTTTATTCTAAAAATATGTTATTTCCTCAATAAAGACCTAACAAACCTGACCGCCTCCGTGGTCTAGTGGTAGAGTGTCCGCCCAGAGAGCGGAAGGTCCGGGGTTCGATCCCCGGCCGTGTCATACCAAAAGACGTTAAAAGATGGTACTTGTTGTTACCCTGTCTGGCGCTCGGCATTAAGGGGCTAAAACAAGGACTGGTCGGCTCGGAGTCAGTATACTGTGTCTGAGTGGGGTATTCATGTTAAACTGCGGCATGGTATCTCAGTGTGCTAGCACTATAAATCGGCATCAGTCCGGACTAGTACAAGCAGCCACACAAACACACACACGTACATGCACGTCGCTATATAAGTGCAATAATCTTGGACACGACGTTACACCCCATTTCACCTCACCTCACCTAACAAATCTAATTATTTGAGTCAGGCAGATTTGTGTGAGATGACGGTGTCAACACACTGGGGTAAGTTTCCACAGACAGTGACTGATACTGTTTATATCTGCAGACACTGAAGAAGTCATACAGTGCAAGGAATAAGAACAAGGACCCAGGCATCTTTGTATTGCTGGCGTGTGGAACTACCAGCAGTACTTGTGGCCAGCTTGCCAGCTACCCCCTGGCTCTGGTTAGAACAAGACTACAGGCACAAGGTAACTGTTGCTCCATAGCATTTTCTGTGTTTTTAATCTCCATGTTCGGCTTCCGAGGCAGAGGTGGAAGAAACTAAAACAAAAGCAAAAAACACTTTGATGCAAAGCATGAAAACAGCAGCAAAAAATTATCATGTCTTTGTTAAAATGGTAAACAAATTTTCCCAAAATGTGGAATGAACACGAGTATGGTTTATGACAATAGGAACAATATTGGTTTCAATTCATTTCCAGTTTTACATCTTACTCCATGTTTTTGACTAGTATGCGATTATCTCCCTTACACACTAAATTTGATAAACACAGTCTTTCCACAGTAAAGATTTTCCTGGAGACAGATCCTCACCTTAATCCAACCTGACCTTAATCCAATCACACACCAAATAGCACCGCTTATTACTGCTGAGTAGAGTACTTCCGCTAAAACAATACATAGTGTTTTCCTAAGAACAACATATACTTTTTGAGTTTATTCTGTTAATTGGCATTAAGGAAGTTCACAGGAAATACAATAATTGAACCAACTCAAGTTAAATCTTTGGCCCCAGCACTGACAATTCACAGGATGTAATTAGTGCTTGAATGACATTGTTTATATATTTGTTACAAGTGGTGCTCAATAAACAATGATGTGGAATACATAGTTGTTTGTTTTTAGCGTATGTCTAAGTTGGTATTTCTGCTAACCAAATTGTGTTATTGTTGATATAAATGTGATGTTTATTAATGCGAGCAAAGACAACTCGCATTTATCGTATTTTATTCACACTCGCGTTAATTTCGCGATTTACAGTATAACTTGGATTATTTATATGACTTGCTATATTTAAAGTTGAGGTCGCTTTATGGCTGAAAAAATGCAGTTGCGAAGTTAAATTTTAACTCACTTATGAGTTCCATGCTTTTCTGGGGCGGTCGGGTAGCCTAGTGGTTAAAGCGTTAGCTCGACATGCCGAAGACCCGGGTTCGATTCCCGACATGGGTACAATGTGTGAAGCCCATTTCTGGTGTCCCCCGCCGTGATATTGCTGGAATATTGCTAAAAGCGGCGTAAAACCATACTCACTCACTCCATGCTTTTCTGTTGCAGCTAAGGCCGACGTGAAGGGCGGGATTCCAGATAATATGACAGGATTGTTTAGGACTATTATACGTGAGGAAGGTCCTCGCGGCCTGTATCGTGGCATCACGCCCAACTTCATGAAGGTGGCACCGGCCGTCAGCATCAGCTATGTTGTGTATGAACAAGTCCGCAAAGCTCTAGGTGTCTCCATGACATAGGATTTGACTCCGCATCTGCAACAGCACTCCAGGACGTCGTCAGTCCAGTGATTTCTATCTGCTCATAGTGTTGGACTTTTCATGTCCATAGTGTCAGACTCATTTTATCCATAGGAATTCAAATACACCTCCTACGCAACTCAGCATCTCTCTGTCTGCTTGCTACAAGGAGACATGAAGCAGTGTTCTCTCTCCACCCACCTTGCAGGTATTCCAATGTCATCCCAGTCAGGGTAAAACATTTGAGGTACGGCTTCAGGGATTTGTTTTTTTGGAAAATCATGTTTGTGTTTATGTGTAAGTCTATACTCTGCTGTCTTTCATTCAAATGCAGAGTATATCGAACTTTAACGTGTGTTCGTCTGTCTGTTGGTTTTGATGTCTCCTTTCGGTTGAACCGTTCTCCGTGTATGGATTTTTATTAATTCATACTTATCTATACTACTCAAAAGAAGTTTAGGACCACCCAGTTGTTATTACTATGGTTAACCTGTCATGGCATAAGAGATGAACTATTGTAATGTGAAAGAATCGGGTGGTCCTTAACTTCTTTTGAGTAGTTTAAATTATTACAATTGTCATATTGGAAAGAATATGAATGCTAAGTGAGTGAAAATTATTTTGCAGGATATGTGAACAATATAACAAGGATTAACAGTGCTTGTCTTACAGTTGTTGTACATTACTGCTGAGATGGAGAACTACATGCTCTGGTGTTCTGAACCCCTCAGATTTGAGGGGTTCATACTTCCTCCACTTGTTATTGTTAACTATATTGTTATGTTTGGAGAAGGAATCCTTATGACTGGATCTTAACCTACTGTGCACATGATATCTATCTGTGATCTGTTTCCTTGAGCGTGATCTCAATCTGTGAGAGGTGAGCTTGTTGTCCTCATTAACAAAACCATTGACATGATTTTTCTTACATAACTGATCGTCGAACACAATCATCATACTTAATTATCCACAATTCACACAGCCTTTGTCAACTTGACATAGGTTTATCTCATGAATTGTCTAAGTTGGAGGGAAATGTCATCGTTTTTTGTTGAGTTTGTAACACTTCAGCTCCAGTATCTGTTCCGGAGCATGTTTTTTTGGCTTTTGAAGAGCATCACCAGATATCATGCTGAGCACTAACTAAAGAATACAATTTATGAAATGATCATAATATTTCAGTTTGTAAATAAATATTTCTCTAATAAGGGAAACACTTTTATTTTCATAGGAATAGTGACTTGAAAATAAGGATGGTTTGGTGAACTTGGAAATAAAGAACATATTTGTTATAAAATGTGAGATTTATTGTTTTTCCTCCTAATTCGCTGTGCAAATTTTTACAAAAGGACAACTTCAATATGGTATTGTTTCTTCCACAGCAAGTATCTTCTTCCCATAACTGAATCATTACCGGTTCAGATGTGTCTTATTTTCCCCAAAAAGACACATTCTGTGAACTAGATTTGGATGTTTGTCATGAATGTGTGTGACACAAGAACAAATGTTGTTTTCATAAGTGATGTTTTGTGTCATCTGATCTTTAAAAGGATTTTCATGGATATTGTTCAATAATTGACTCTGTTGTAAAGATTGATGAATTCGTTAACATCTGAATATAGTTCATCTTTAGGTTGCCATGGTGATGGCTGCAGTAGACTTTTCGAATCAGAAATCGTTCATCTTCAACAGATAGACAATACTCAAGGACTACTGAACCAGCTGTTGTGTCCCCTCTATAACTAATTAGTATTGCCATTACACAACAGGTATAGGTGACTTCACATCAAACTAGCAGCCCACATAGAGAACACCAACATCAAAATGTAATTTAGTGGCCACTGCTTAGATTGGGTGGCAGATTGGCGGTGAATAAATCTACAGTGTAACAATAGGTTAAGTGACAGCCTACCTCATATGTCAACATGTCTGTAAAGCTTTGGATGAACTCAAAAAATAATCTAAAATATTTTTAATATTCTTTTTTCATACCAGCCCTGATTTTTCACAGAAATCCTGCCTGAATTTGAGCCCAATTCAAATACTCAAAAGAACTTTCCATGTATAGACTGGATCTGTTTATCCCAATAGAATCAGCTAGACAGGTGATGTTCTTTTAAAACTGCAAGACTGGTGAGGTTTATACACTGCCATGTTTCTGTTTAGCGAACCAGTGGATGTACACATTTTGTATATTTGCTGGAATTCTGTCATAATGTGCACATATCTTTATTGCCAACCAGCTGTAAATATTTCACGTACAAAAACTAATTGTTCATTGAAGTGTATCACTCAAAGAGTACATGCTGAATGTGCTATTATCGAAACTGCCCTTGTGCAATGTTTACTGTATATACTTTTAAACATGCTAGTGCAATGTCTGCATTCAGCTAAGGCTATATTTCTGTTCAGATTGAGGTTAATGTCCAATATGCCTCCTGTCTAATGTCCGACATGTCTCCCGTCTAATGTCCCACATCTGCCTGCTGATGTCTTAATTCTCCCTGCTAATGTCCGACATGTCTAGTGTCTAATGTCCTACAGCTCCCTGCTAATGTCCGACATGTCTCCCATCTAATGTCCCACATCTGCCTGCTGATGTCTCAATTCTCCCTGCTAATGTCTGACATGTCTAGTGTCTAATGTCCTACAGCTCCCTGCTAATGTCCGACATGTCTCCCATCTAATGTCCCACATCTGCCTGCTGATGTCTCAATTCTCCCTGCTAATGTCCGACATGTCTAGTGTCTAATGTCCCACATCTGCCTGCTGTTGTCTCAATTCTCCCTGCTAATGTCTGACATGTCTAGTGTCTAATGTCCTACAGCTCCCTGCTAATGTCCTACAGCTCCCGTCTAATGTCCCACATCTGCCTGCTGATGTCTCAATTCTCCCTGCTAATGTCTGACATGTCTAGTGTCTAATGTCCTACAGCTCCCTGCTAATGTCCGACATGTCTCCCATCTAATGTCCCACATCTGCCTGCTGATGTCTCAATTCTCCCTGCTAATGTCCGACATGTCTAGTGTCTAATGTCCCACATCTCCCTGCTGTTGTCTCAATTCTCCCTGCTAATGTCTGACATGTCTAGTGTCTAATGTCCTACAGCTCCCTGCTAATGTCCGACATGTCTAGTGTCTAATGTCCAGTGATTCGCTGTGCAGAGTTGCATCCCTTGAGCACGCCAGAAACCATGATCGTGGGTTCGAATCCCGGTTCGCCCCGATTATGTTTCTAGGTTTGTCAGCACCATACCCATGCTCGTGGGATTCACCGAAGTGGTAAACGTCTGAGACCTACATCACTTCAGGCTTTCCACCCACATTATGCTGACCGGCCGTGATATAACTGGAATACTGTTAAAAGCGGCGTTAAACCCATCTCACTCACTCACTCCAGTCTAATGTCCACGTCTCCTTCTAATATCCTCGTGTCTCTCATCTAATGTCTCTCTTTAAGTGTCTGAAGTGTTCAAAAGTTAAAATTTTAGGCTTCCTTGATTCAGATGCTATGGCAGCACTGTGCTGACATGTCTGCCGTCGATGTCCTGGGTCATTTGTACTACCTCATTACTACCATGTATATCCTTTGTTTATCATCAATACGTCATGGGTATTTATCCACTACACTCCTCCACCTCCACAATACATACGACCACTTTGTGGTGCTATTATTAATGAAGTGAGCCTGGCTTGAGCAAAGGGTAACTAGTGAGTACTCAGACCAATGGTCGTCTAAGGTGCCGCGAGTTGCGTCCCTTGGGCACACCAGAAACCTATGATTGTGGGTTCGAATCCTGGTTCAACCCAATTATGGTTCTAGGTTTGTCAGCACCATACCCGTGCTCGTGGGTTTCACCGAAGTGGTAAACGTCTTAGACCTGCATCACTTTGGGCTTTCCTCCCACATTAAGCTGACACGCCGCTATATAACTGAAATAATGTCAAAAGCGGCATTAAATCCAACTCACTCACTCACTCACTCACTCACTCCTTTTGTATTGTCATTTCTTCAATGTCGAGCAATGGTTGGGTTTTCACTAGTTTCAGTAACGATTCACCGATAGCTATGATATCATCGATACTTAGGTATACACGATGCTTGAATTGTCAGTTTGTGAGATCATGATGCGCTATATAAATTGGACAGGAACTTGTAGAGAGTTACCTCCCATAATGGCAGAAGTAGCACAGCGCCATCTGTAAGCATGGCAGAACATGACATTCCAACTCACTGTTACATTTAATAACCATCCCTTTGTTCAAAACTGTTTTGTTCTTGTAGTTTTCTTTGTTAAAGTTTTTGAGATAAAAATAAATAAATGAATAAAGAACGAGGTTTCAGAGATGTATTTCAGTGATTTCATCATTTCTTTCTTGTAGATGTGGTGTATCGTGTTACCAGTAGATACCAGTTGTGATGCGAATCGTATCGTATGGTCCAAGGCAATACTCGGCTCTAGTTTCTAAAGTATTAGTGATGTGAGCTCATTGGCTTCCATCCGTTCTACACAGCCTCGTTTCATTAGCTGATTAACTAAAGACATGTGTCACAGCTACATCACATCAGACTAACGTATTGAAGGAGGAACGTAGTGTATACATATCCAGGAAGTACTGATGATGTCCTTTGTTAAGCAGTGACCTAGTGTTAGAAAGTCCTGGTTTTTACATGATGTAGGGGGCGGTTGGGTAGCCTAGTGGTTAAAGCATTCGCTCGTCAAGCCGAAGACCTGGGTTCGATTCACGACATGGGTACAGTGTGTGAAGCCAATTTCTGGTTCCCGCGTCGTGATATTGCTGGAATATTGCTAAAAGCGGCGTAAAAACCATACTCACTCACTCCATGATGTAGTAAACCATTTGATTGGTCTAACAGGCTAACCAGGAAACAAATACAGAATCTTCAGAATGAATTTAATGCCTGACATAATGAAAGTTTATTTGTAATTGTTGAATATGCAGTGATCTCCCTTTGATGCAGATGACATTCCTGAGAAAACATCAAGGTTAATGAATTTCTGTATTACCATTGTGTCGAACTTTGATGTGTCAAACTTTTGGGTATCTCAAATTAAAGCATGGTGTCTACATATTCCTTCATTGTTCATAATTTTTGGTTGTGTCGAACCCCGGATAACCCTTTAACTTTGACACAACGGTGTTTGACTATGAATAAACCTATATATCATTGAACAGATAATAAAGTCCTTCATGTTGACATGATGAGTAATGTCTAGTGTCATATCCAGATAAGCAGGATCTTGACGCAAGGATTTCACTGTACAAGGGGTTTCACTCTTCAACTATATGTGTGATCTGTATACAATGTTTTGTTCTCAGCTACCCTAAGTTATTTTAGGTCAAATTTAAGTAATCTGTAAACAGAACAATAAGAAATGGGCGAAAATTACCTCATTTTTGTGTATTATACGCACTTAAATAAGATAAATACCCACTCTTCTCGGGGAGAGATGTGGAATACAAAAGGCTCCCTGTATACAATGCTCTGTCAAATATGTCAAATATGTTGGATGTTTTGGTATGTTTTGTTACACTGTCAGGCCAGACCAATTGCATTTCTGATGGAATCATTCTATTAAAAAATGAAAACATGTTAAGTTCTTTCAATGAAACAACTTTTTAAAACAATCCAAAAATTACTTTCCTAAATTTGAACCGTAGTTTTATGACTAAACAAGTAAGTTTATTGATCTGAGATCATAGAATACTGCATTGCTATACCAGTCATTGCTACAGTGTAATCCAATGAACAATGGTACATTGTGGAATACTCCTATTTATTCCCCAGTGAACAGTGGCGCTGAATCTCATATCCCGCTTCCTTATATCTTTGCATAATTGTGCTGTAATATTGTTGAAATTCTTTGTCAAAGACATTCTTCATCAATTCACTTCAACATTGACTTTCTAAATCACCAGCTCCTTACTACAACTACTCAGCAATATCACATGGTAGCTTTAAGGCTTCAGTAGACAGGAACTAGTTGGATCCCATTGACTGACCCATTAGTTTTCAGTGTCTTCAAGCAAGGAATCTTATCTTCTGATCAGTAAAATACAATCACCTTTTATAATGTCATCTTAAAGTCAAAGAATGGGCTGGGATTTTACCCAGAAAAGTAAATTGTCTCTAAATATTCTTTTAACTCATAGTTTCAATAAACAAATATCTGGTTTTGTAGCTGTAGCTTAAAAAAACCCATCTATGGTGGATCCCTAAAACTCACTCACTCACTCACTCACCAACGCTAGCCATGCACATAAGCTGTATGTTTAATGTTTGCTGATTATTTGTCACTCTACCAGACTTAAGCAGAATCAAAGTGGAGGTCCCGTCCTATTTATTGTGATATCAGTGTACTGTATTCAACCTAATGAGCGCACTGCCTCTGGTCCCAGGGTAGTGAGACCCTGGCGCATTATGAGCAAACCAAATTGAGGATCTGGTTGAAGAATTTTGACCTGGATGGTTGTGAGTACCCTGGGTGATTATGTATGGTCTGCTGTAATATAGCTTAAATATTGTTCACTATTGCATAAAAGGACATTTTTAGGTTAGTTTGTTATAAAACTGACATTGCAAACTAACATAAGATAATTTGACAAACTTGGACAAGTTTGGAATGGTCTTCTCTGTTTCACAATGCTGTCCAGGAACATGAAATCAGTATCGTTTATAGCTGTTTCAACATCTTTTCAGACTGATGGCTTCTGAAGCCTCAAGTCAGAAATCAAAATCCTGACTTTCTGAATCTCCTTGACTTTTGCTGGAAATATCGGTGGGTTTGTAGGAAATGTCCAGGAAACTGAAACGAATGTGAAACCACCAACAACATACGCTTGTTGGCCAACACTTGCTCCCTGTTCCCAAAAGCAATCTTGGTGCTTCGACTGTCAAGACGTCATTAAAGCATTGACGTTACAATCTTCTTAGCGCTATTAAAGATTGCTCTGTGAAATGTAATGGGGAAAAAAACATATATCGCATGCAACAAAATTACTCTCAGCAATGGCACCCCTTTATCCCCATTGCAACATACCATTTAAAACTCGATAAGTGTTGGGTTGAATAAGAGACCATATAATCTATTATATGGTCTCTGGTTGAATACAGCATCAGGATGTCCATATGACCGACAACAATACCAGAGTGCTCTCCCTTGTGGTCTTCAAACTTCAGGATAATTTGGCTTGGTGGCTACAATTTTACTTGATTATGTTAATTCAATGTTGATACTTATTTAAGAATATATTTTTTCAGATATGTTATTCCTATATAGATGTTGTAAGATATATTCAACATCAGTGTCAATTAATATTTTGATACATTTGTCGCCATAGTTAGTATTATTACACGTTCAGTTGAACTTGTTTCAGTTATACAAGTAGTTACTGCATTATCTAAGTAATGTACTACCCGAGGTGTATTTGTTCTGACCACTTGATGTAGTAATTATGTAGTAATTATGTAGAAGGTAGATGTTTATTAATACATGTACTCCCAAGTCAGTATCAAGATATTCAGCATCGTGTCAATGTCACTGTATTTTTGTTTAGTTTGCTGTTGTATCGTAATATTTTCTCTCTCAAATATATTGCCCAACACATTGTTCTCTTGTAAGAAAATATAAATTTTTATAGTTTTATAAATGCCAAATGTGTTCAGTTGTTCTTTCAACCTTTGTTTTTTTAACCATTCCTGATTCAGCTTTATCACTTCACAGGTTTGTATACACTACATGTCGCTTCACCCATGAGAGATGGGGGGCACAGGTGGCCCAGTCATCTAAAGCGCAGCGATTCGCTGTGCAGAGTTGCATCCCTTGGGCACGCCAGAAACCTATGATCCTGAGTTCGAATCCTGGTTCACCCCGATTATATTTCTAGGTTTGTCAGCACCATACCCGTGCTCATGGGTTTGACCGAAGTGGTAAACGTCTGAGACTTGCATCACTTCAGGTGTTCCTCCCACATTAAGCTGACACGCCGTGATATAGCTAGAATACTGTTAAAAGTGGCGTTAAACCCAACTCACTCACCCATGAGGGGGCATGTGTGGCCCAGTCGTATAAATTTCCGCAGTTTGCTTCGGAGAATTGCGTTCCTTTGGCACGTCAGAAACATATGATTGTGGTTTTGAATCCTGGCTCACCCAGATTATGTTTCTAGGTTTGCTTGCGGGTTTCTTTGTGCATAGTGCCGCAGTTTGCTTGGGAGAATTGCGTTCCTTTGGCACGTCAGAAACAGATGATTGTGGTTTCGAATCCTGGCTCACCCAGATTGTTTCTAGGTTTGCTTGCAGGTTTCTTTGTGCATACCCTATCATTGCTTGCTATTAAAACTGTACAGGGCAGAGGTGAGGTGAAATTGGGTTTAACGTCGCGTCCAAGATTATTGCACTTAAATAGCGACGTGCATGCACGTGTGTGTGTGTGTGTGTGTGTGTGTACGTGTGTGGCTGGCTGCTTGTACTAGACCGGACTGATGCCGATTTATAGTGCTAGCCCACTGAGATACCATCCGCAGTTTAACATGAATACCCCACTCAGACACAGTATACTGACTCTGCGCCGACCAGTCCTTGCTTTAACCCCTTAATGCCGAGCGCCAGACAGGGTAACAACCAGTACCATCTTTTAACGTCTTTTGGTATGACGCAGCTGAGGATCGAACCCAGGACCTTCCGCTCTCTGGGCGGACGCTCTACCACTAGACCACGGAGACGGTCATACAGGGCAGACAGGCAAAGGGGTTTGGTACATGTTATCAAGTGGCCTTAAGTATTTATAAGACATAGAGAAACAGTGTATACAAAGTTGTGAAGTATTGACAAAGATTTCCTATTACTTATTGCAGAAAGTAAATACAAGGGCAAGTTAAGAAAAAGATTTGTTTCAATTTCGAGTCTGGATACTATTGTGAGAAACAAACTACGCCAATCATCTTCCCGAGGCAAGTGAGTTAACTGACTATAAAAGTCCAGTTTCCACCCTGGCCGAACTAGGCTGGTATTATGGAGTTACATTTTGGCTGGACTAACGAGTCTATGCATAGTCCAATCAAAATCGCGCACCGAAATCGAAATCCGGCTCGTAAAGTGTCATGCATAGTTCGGTCGACTGCAGGATTAGCAAAGCATGTGCACCGCTAACTCGTTGTCAACAAGTATTTTCTATATCTTTTCATGTTTTTAATCAAGGTGCTCACGTGATTTGATGCACTTCGCGATGTAAGACTTGTTTGATCACAATATAGATCTTGATTATTGATCAGATCGTCTTGACTGGGGGCCACCGTTTTGTTTGAAGCAAATGCTAGTGATACGAGAGGTTGAATCTGATTGGTCAATAGGAGAGGCATAGAAAGGACATTACTCGTAATAACCACTGGTGGCGCTACGATCGAGCCCAGGAATTCCAGCCTAGTTCGGCCAGGGTGGAAACTGGACTTTTAAAGTCAGTTAACTCTCTTGCCTCGGGAAGATGACGCCAATTGGCTATGATGACACATAATCAAGCAATTCAGCATCCACCCAATTCATTTGGTCGCCACTTTCGACCAGCACAGTTGCCGGGGTCCAATTCCCACCCTGAATCCCACCAGGGTTGCAATGCATAATGTGCTGGTTGCTATTATTTACCAATGGTCTTGACGATCCACTTTTGATTTTAATCATCATCACTTATAGCATTTTGGGTGCAGTTGGTATTCAGAACTGGAGGTGGTATTCCGTAAGCAAGGTGATGGAGATGGTATTCGATCTTGACATTAATAGGGTACTGTATTCGACGTATGTAATACAATAAGATCCCCCTGACTAACCTCAAGACAAATCAGAAAATTATCATATATCATAGGTACCTCTACTAAGACTTTCCAAGGAATTCTGTATTTTTTGTGTTACAGACAGAAAAGAGCAGCATGACAGGAACATGACTGCCAGGGCCCCATTCTATCTTAGCACAAAGGCGATCATTACTCCCATACTTCAATATAGACTTACAATAGTCCAGGGCTAAGATCGATTTGTGGAATGGATCACAGACAGTTTGTTCATTTAAGTTTGATGTCTTGAACTGAAACAATTTGAACTTGTGTATGGATTTAATAAGCGTCCCTCTTTGTCAAGTTTCTAAACACCCGGGAGCGTTTATTAGGACAATTTCGGTAATGTGATTTGATGTGCATATTTAACACAAATATGCAGCACATATGGAACATGATTTGATCAAACAATGAAAACAGCACTGTTCAAACGTTTAATAAAGCCAATAAAACTTACATCTCTAACATCATCTAATAAAAAACATATCACAGATGTGATAATACAACACACTTGAGAACCTTCCATGAAGGCACAGCCACAAATTACACGTTTCTGTTAGATATCCACGGAACACTGTTCTGTCCCTGATTTCAAAGTAGAAGCCAAACGATTTTTTTTTACCAACAATACATCCTGTACCAGACCATGCAGTGACTATTTTCTTTTATTGCCTCAAATATTTGGTCCCTCACTCATTGAAGGTCACATTCCGACTTCAGGTGTAATGATACGGTGGGGCAGTGATACGATACTTATCCTGATACTATGGGTGCAATACGATTTGTATCCCGATTCAATGGGTGTGATATGATTCAAATCCTGCTACAGTACTTTGCAGGTGAATCACAAGGCTGAATCATTTGTTTTTAGTTTTCATGGAGGGAGATGGGATATTGCAGGGCAGAAACATATAGGTTAGAGGACACAGGGGGTGTTATGCTACTTACAGCCACCCGGGAAATACTAAAGAATCTGTGTAAGCTGGTTGCTGAACAGTTTCTGTTATTATTCCCATCGTTTTACAATACAACTTGTAATGAAATGTATTGCATGTATTGCGATACAGGGGTTGTGAATCTATGTTTTGTATCGTGGGACTTGTATCACCATACAAAACTGTATTGCCGTATCGTTACATCACTAGTGCCTAGAAAATGAACAAAACATTTGCAGGTTCAAGGCACCTTTCAAATGAAAACAAATTTTCTGAAAACAAAATCCCCTGAAGGAAAAGAAGTTCTTGGTAAATCCTTTGCCATTACAGAATCAGTATGAATATCGCTGAATAAGGGTGAGACAATGACTCAGTACTGTTATTTTGTTTGGGTCATAAACAGTGTGAGCAAGGATACTGCTGACATCCATAAATACCCCATCTCTTATGTCTATCACTTCTAAATGCCACTCAAAGAATTCATTTTTGTTAGTGAAAACATAGTCTATTTACTATTATATTTGTTGAAAACATGTCACATAATGATTGAGTTCTTCATCTGAGTTTGCTAAAGAAAGGGTAGATTCCAAGGTGTCCTCTTCCTGTCTGGACAAAGGCCTCACAACTGGAGCCATGGACAATGTAGTACTCATCCGCAGTTCTCTTTTAACGGCCATTAAAGCAATCAATTTATTATTTCGCAACATTTTACAAATCCTTACATCCTACAGTATGACAGTTTATGGGGGAGCTAATATTTAGAATTAGACAAGATGCTCCAAGCCATGGACATTGTGACCAAGATGCCAACAATGAAACCAAGACCGCGTGATGGCTGAGGCAAGGGTAACAGATAGGCGATGGTGTGTAAGATCCGGGCACCTGTGAAGATGCGGAAGTGCAGGAGGGCGGAGCCGAGACTTGGGCCAGTTGCTGTGTACAGTAGACCAATCAAAACAAAGGGGATGACGTTCTCAAGGTCATTCAGATGGCACCTGAAACAGACGAAGGCCAATGCTTGTTGAACGTGGGATGAGGTTTAATGAGACCCTACTATTAGACTAAAATTATATCTTAAAAGTTTATCATAATCAATGAAATGTTGCTTTGTATAAAACTAGAATTTATTGGTTACCGTAACTATTTTTTCCCTGTTTTACACCGATTCCTATGAATAACTTTAAGACAGTGGTCAGTCCATATGCTCTTTGGTTTAAAACATTCTTTTTCGAAAAACACATAAAGGAGAATATAGAATAATTGTTGCTTTGTTCTAGCCTCTACTGGCCAAATCAAAATTTGAAAATCTTTTTGTGATGATTTGTTTGTGAAGACAAGCCACCCTTTACTTAGAGATCATAATATGGTAGTTTCATATCACCCAACCATCTCAGTGCGAGGGCTGATATTGGGGGACGAGGGTTCATATGGGGTATGATATGAAAACTCACATAATAACCTTTTTATCATTTACCATAACATCAAACTGTAACATGTATCCATTCATAAAACATCTCCAAATTCCATGTTTGTCCGTAAAAACATGTTCACCTTGTTCGGAAGACATTGTCACGGGAAAGCTGGCCGAGCAGACACTCAAAGGGACATAACTCTAATTTCTTACCACCCAGGCTGATATCAATGGGCCATTCAAAATGCAATGACCAGCCATACCAGCCCGTCAGGGTGTGTAATACGTATGATGGGTCCAGTTATTACATCCCGTGACATGACTGTATCCATGTTGGTTCTATCACACATGCAAATACCTCATATCAGTGATGAGTATACGATAATATGAGTAAAGTGTCACAAGAGGGTTGTAGGCATTCTTCGAGATGAAAAGATGAGTTCACAACTTAAAAATCATTATTTCACTTACCTGCGGACCCTCTCAACTGATTCATGTGTTGATGGTTTCACTCCCCTGCCCGCAGTGTCCTCAGGATTTACAAATACCTGTGACAAAGAAACATCAATCACACATTGATACACTTGACCTGGCATACACACTTGACCTGGCATACACACTTGACCCGGCATACACACTTGACCAAGCATACACACTTGACCTGGCATACACACTTGACCTGGCATACACACTTGACCTGGCATACACACTTGACCTAGCATACACACTTGACCTGGCATACACACTTGACCTCACATCAACACTTGACCAAGCATACACACTTGACCAAGCATACACACTTGACCTAGCATACACACTTGACCTGGCATACACACTTGACCTAGCATACACACTTGACCCAGCATACACACTTGACCCAGCATACACACTTGACCTAGCAAACACACTTGACCTGGCATACACACTTGACCTGGCATACACACTTGACCCGGCATACACACTTGACCCAGCATACACACTTGACCCAGCATATACACTTGACCCAGCATACACACTTGACCCGACATACACACTTGACCTGGCATACACACTTGACCTGGCATACACACTTGACCTGGCATACACACTTGACCCAGTATACACACTTGACCTGGCATACACACTTGACCTGGCATACACACTTGACCTGGCATACACACTTGACCCAGTATACACACTTGACCTGGCATACACACTTGACCTGGCACACACACTTGACCTGGCATACACACTTGACCTGGCACACACACTTGACCTGGCATACACACTTGACCAAGCATACACACTTGACCTGGCATACACACTTGACCTGGCATACACACTTGACCTGGCAAACACACTTGACCCGGCATACACACTTGACCCGACATACACACTTGACCTAGTAAACACACTTGACCCAGCATACACACTTGACCTGGCATACACACTTGACCAAGTATACACACTTGACCTGGCATACACACTTGACCCGGCATACACACTTGACCTGGCATACACACTTGACCTGGCATACACACTTGACCCAGCATATACACTTGACCCAGCATACACACTTGACTTGGTATACACACTTGACCTGGCATACACACTTGACCTGGCACACACACTTGACCCAGCATACACACTTAACCCAGCATAAACACTTGACCCAGCATACACACTTGACCCAGCATACACACTTGACCCAGCATAAACACTTGACCCAGCATACACACTTGACCTGGCATACACACTTGACCTGGCATTGACCCAGCATACACACTTGACCTGGCACACACACTTGACCCAGCATACACACTTGACCTGGCATACACACTTGACCTGGCATTGACCTGGCATACACACTTGACCCGGCTTACACACTTGACCCAGCATACACACTTGACCCAGCATAAACACTTGACCCAGCATACACACTTGACCTGGCATTGTACTGGCATACACACTTGACCTGGCACACACACTTGACCTTGCACACACACTTGACCCGGCATACACACTTGACCTGGCATACACACTTGACCTGGCATACACACTTGACCCAGCATACACACTTGACTTGGTATACACACTTGACCTGGCATACACACTTGACCTGGCACACACACTTGACCCAGCATACACACTTAACCCAGCATAAACACTTGACCCAGCACACACACTTGACCTGGCATACACACTTGACCCAGCATACACACTTGACCCAGCATAAACACTTGACCCAGCATACACACTTGACCTGGCATACACACTTGACCTGGCATTGACCCGGCATACACACTTGACCTGGCACACACACTTGACCCAGCATACACACTTGACCTGGCATTGACCTGGCATACACACTTGACCCGGCATACACACTTGACCCGGCATACACACTTGACCCAGCATAAACACTTGACCCAGCATACACACTTGACCTGGCATACATTCTTGACCTGGCATTGTACCGGCATACACACTTGACCTGGCACACACACTTGACCTTGCACACACACTTGACCCGGCATACACACTTGACCTGGCATACACACTTGACCCGGCATACACACTTGACCCGACATACACACTCGACCCGGCATACACACTTGACCTGGCATACACACTTGACCCAGCATACACACTTGACCCGGCATACATACTTGACCTAGCATACACTTGACCCAGCATACACACTTGACCTGACATACACACTTGACCCAGCATACACACTTGACCTGGCATACACACTTGACCTAGCATACACTTGACCCAGCATACACACTTGACCTGGCATACACACTTGACCCAGCATACACACTTGACCTAGCATACACTTGACCCAGCATACACACTTGACCTGGCATACACACTTGACCCGACATGCACACTTGACCTGGCATACACACTTGACCTAGCATGCACGTGTGACCTGACATACAAACATGGCCTCGCATACACTTGACCCAGCATACACACTTGACCTGGCATACACACTTGACCAAGCATATACACTTGACCTAGCATACACTTGACCCAGCATACACACTTGACCTGGCATACACACTTGACCTAGCATACACTTGACCCAGCATACACACTTGACCTGGCATACACACTTGACCTAGCATACACTTGACCCAGCATACACACTTGACCTGGCATACACACTTGACCTGGCATACACACTTGACCTAGCATACACTTGACCCAGCATACACACTTGACCTGGCATACACACTTGACCTAGCATACACACTTGACCAGACATGCACACTTGACCCGGCATACACACTTGACCTGGCATACACACTTGACCAAGCATACACACTTGACCTAGCATACACTTGACCCAGCATACACACTTGACCTGGCATACTCACTTGACCTAGCATACACTTGACCCAGCATACACACTTGACCTGGAATACACACTTGACCAAGCATACACACTTGACCTAGCATACACACTTGACCCGGCATACACACTTGACCCAGCATACATACTTAACCCAACATGCACACTTGACCCGGCATACACACTTGACCTGGCATACACATTTGACCTAGCATACACACTTGACCTAGCATACACACTTGACCTGGCATACACACTTGACCTGGCATACACACTTGCCCTGACATACACACTTGACCCAGCATACTCACTTGACCCAGCATACACCCTTGACCTAGCATACACACTTGACCCAGCATACATACTTGACCCCTAAGCATGTCATACTAAAAGACATTATAAGATGATACTGGATGATACTGCACGCACACACACGCATCGCTATAATCCTAAATGTAACGTTAAAACCTATGTCACCCCATTTAAATTCTCTTGGCTCTTGGGTGATATCAGTATACACAGCTGACACAAGTTAATTAGATTCGGAATTTCACACACATGGAGAATGCATGACCATGCATCGTATTTATGCTTCATAAATATATTTTTTGATGTGGCCGTTTTGACTAGGGCGTCTGTGGCCCTTTTGACCAGTCCTCAACCCCACTGCCCCCTCGAGTTATTTTACTCAGATTGAGGTAAACATGTGATTGAACACCACAATAAGTAATACGTTATAGATAATGTTATTATCTCTCACAGTTTAGTGAGATACTGTGATTCAAGAATAAGTTTCATGCTAATCTAGTTTTTGTCAGTTTTACGGTATAACGGTGATGACATTGCACAAATACGTCTGCATTTAACCGAGCCCTTCCGCAGCTACACACACTGACAGTTGTTGCTAAATATGTCGGCGTGACTGTTGGTCTCCCTTATGTAATATAGACTATATATGGTTGACGGGTCATCATTCTAACTGGGAAAATAAGCAAAATCCTCGGTGGTAGAATACTGGGTCAAAGTTCGCAAGTGTGGCGTTATTGTCGTTATCGTGATCACCTCGCCACATTCATAGGTTTAGGCATCGTAACAAAATATGCACTTACCTTTTTGGTCAATCTGTGAAATACAGTGCAAAAACTCATTGCCATGGTTTTTAAAACAACCACTGTGGCATAGAACGCAAAGTAGGGGAACACGGGATTGTCAAACACACCAGCCATGTTGAACGATTTCTCGACACCACAACTTCGACACACTTTGCAGTGAACGCTCCGGGACGATCACGTGACTGTGTTACAACACATCCGGATGGGGGACATAGCCGGTTTAATCACATTTGTGAAGTCATGGCTAAGCGAGCGACCACGGCGGTAGAAATTTAGATTGTTATGCTCATATCAAGCACCTTTCATTGCCTCTGTTATAAAAACATTCCATTGGTAGGAATACTTTGGCGGATACAGAGGGGGGGGGGGGGGGGGGGGGGGCGCACCCCTCCCTTTTTATTTCGAAAACAATCTTTATTTCTGTATAAATTACCACCAAAGACAATATATGGATCTTAATTGTGCACACACACACACACACCTTTTCAAAAAAGCTGTATCCGCCCATGGAATATATTGCACGTATTGCCTTAAATATGTCTTTGTTTTTTGTCTGTTATCACCGCACTCAGCCTCATCGCTGCACTCAGCAATATTCCAGTTTCAAAGTTGTCTGTACATAATGGCCAGACAAAACATCCAGTGATTGATACAATGAGCAGCGTCTCACGCCGTCAGGGGATGGACCGCCTCCGTGGTCTAGAGGTAGAGCGTCCGCCCGGAGAGCGGAAGGTCCGGGGTTCGATCCCCGGCCGCGTCATACCAAAAGACGTTAAAAGATGGTACTTGTTGTTACCCTGTCTGGCGCTCGGCATTAAGGGGCTAAAACAAGGACTGGTCGGCTCGGAGTCAGTATACTGTGTCTGAGTGGGGTATTCACTAGCACTATAAATCGGCATCAGTCCGGACTAGTACAAACAGCCACACAAACACACACACGTACATGCACGTCGCTATATAAGTGCAATAATCTTGGACGCGACGTTAAACCCCATTCCACCACCACACCGTCAGGGGATGATGACGTGCAATCAACCAAGTCACCGAGCCCGACCACCCGATCCATTAGGACGCCTCTTACAAGCATAGTTCAGACGGGATCTACTCTAATATTGAACGCCGACGGACTTGTCTATAATACAAATACATGGTGTAAATGTTTCCATTTAGTGACTAGTACTGTATTCTGACTTTTTTAAAAATATTTTTTTCTTCGGACGGCAAGAGAAGGGCGGAAGAGGAAAAACAATTCAAGGGTGGATCCAGCATTTTGAAAAGGGAGGGGTCCAAATATCAAAATACTCTCTCAGATAATTTTACTACCTACAACATACTACATTTGGTTTTCTAAAGGGGTGAAAGGTCCCTATCCCCTGGACCCGCTGGACCCCCTGGACCCTGGACCCCCTGAATTTCTGTATTAATCAATCATAAACAGATAGTAAAGTCTTTCTCTATTGACATGATTTGGTGGACTTAGCGAGTTGACCACCTCTCCTAAACACGACCACATTTGTTTTATCTAGGGTTACTGTAAATATCAATTCATCTGGAAACTTTTCTAAGATATTCAGCTGGTTTTGAAGCCCTGTCACAGTATCTGATACAAGTATACCATCATCAGCAAACAATAGCATGAGTAACTCTAAAATATCTGGGGACAGCTGAACACCGCGTTTCCCCTGTCTAACAATATCTTACGTTTACTCGTTAATGAAAAAATGAGAATAGCATAGAACTTAATAAGCTGCCTTGTTTCAAACCAAGAAATGTGTTTAACGTCGGGTCCAAGATTATTGCACTTATATAGCGATGTGCATGCACGTGTGTGTGGCTGCTTGTACTAGTCCGGACTAATGCCGATTTTATAGAGCTAGCCCACTGAGATACCATGCCGCAATTTTAACATGAATACCCCACTCAGACACTGTTTTCTGACTCCGAGCCAACCAGTCCTTGTTTTAGGCCCTAAATGTCGAGCGCCAGACCGGGTAACAACAAATACCATCTTTTAACGTCTTTTGATAGGAGGCGGTCGGGAATCGAACCTCGGACCTTCCGCTCTCCGGGCGGACGCTCTACCACTGGACCACGGAGGTGGTCTCAAACCAAGAGGACAGTCGGGATATCATGTTAACTGACCATCAAATCGTACACATGCTCCTACATTTGTGTTTATACTTTTTAACTTTTGTTGCAATTTACCCTTCAGGCCAGTATGTTTCAAACAGAGCCATAATTTATGTCGATTAACAGAATCAAAAGCTTCCCTAAATCAACGAATGCTACATAAAGCTTCTTCTTACGACTTAATAGATATTTCTGAACAATACCGACCGCCTCCGTGGTCTGCGGAAGAGCGTCCGCCCGAAGAGCGGAAGGTCCGGGGTTCGATCCCCGACCGCGTCATACCAAAAGACGTTAAAAGATGGTACTTGTTGTTACCCTGTCTGGCGCTCGGCATTAAGGGCTAAAACAAGGACTGGTCGGCTCGGAGTCAGTATACTGTGTCTGAGTGGGGTATTCATGTTCAACTGCGGCATGGTATCTCAGTGAGCTAGCACTATAAATCGGCATCAGTCCGGACTAGTACAAGCAGCCACACAAACACACACACGTACATGCACGTCGCTATATAAGTGCAATAATCTTGGACGCGACGTTAAACCCCATTTCACCTCACCTCACCTCTGAACAATACCAAGAAATGTAAACGTGTGGTCAGTAGTGGAATAATGTTTTCGAAAACCAGCTTGCGTTTCCGGAATTCTGTCGCTCATGCATATTTGCCCAAAGTGTAAGTTTCTTATTTAAATACATGTAAAGACTTTAATAAGGATACATTTCAGGGAGATTCCTCTATAGTTATCTGGGTTATTAGTATCACCTTTTTGTGGAGAGGTACAATTATAGATTTCGACCATATATTAGGGAAACGGCCACTTGCACATATCTTATTTAAAAAATATTTCGAAAAAACGGCAGTATTATTTCCTTAGAACATTTAAGCATTTCAAAAAGAAGATTATCTAGTCCAGGGGACTTTCCATTCTGAAGAGAATAAATTGCATCAATAATTTTCTCAACAGTGATATTGGCATCAAGAATACATCGATCAATATCAGTATAATACTCATGATGACATATATCTGTATCTGTATCAGAACTGGCTAAGTTCTCAACCATATCAGCAGTATGGAAGACATCTTTGAAATGAGTTAACCAATCGGTGGGATTATTTTGCAGTCGGTGTAAGACTTTAAGTTAATATTTCGAATCTCTGTCCAAAACTCTGGAGGGTTACCCAGAGATTCGCATACTGTATCAACTTTATGTTGCCGAACTCCGTATCTCCGACGTTTTTGCTTATATTTATTCCAAACAGTACAATATTGTTTTCTGGAATGTTCATTTCTGTAACGTCTGAATTGTCGACACGCTCTACATTGACTTACAGATCTACACTGACCATTTAATATTATTCTATAGGATGTATTATGGATATTTGACACATATTTTTTAACACAATCAGCTGATTCTAAAATAGTTTTTATGCCAGTTTGCTGTGCATAATTGCGTCCCTTTGGCGCGCCAGAAACCGTTGATCCTGGCTTCGAATCCTGGTTCATCAAGATTATGTTTCTAGGTTTGTCAGCACTATTTCCGTGCTCGAGGGTTTCTTCGTACGTACCCCATCATTGCTTGCAATTAAAACTGTACAGAGTAGACAGACAAAGAGAAGCATGCCAGGTCCCCATTCCATAAAGCAGTCTTAGCGCAAAGGCAGTCGTAACTCCCATACTTTAATATAGACTTACAATAGTCGTAGCGCTAAGATCGATTTGTGGAATGGAACACATAACTATTATCAGAAAGGTTTTAGTTTCAATGACTGTTTGTTCATCATCGTTCGATGTCTGGCCCGGGGGTGCGTATTACGGCAATTACAGTAATGTGATTTGCTGTGCATTTGTTACACAAATATGCAGCACATATGGAACATGCTTAGTTCAAACGATGAAAACAGTTCTGTTCAAACTTTTAATATAGCCAACAAAATTTACATCTCCAACATCATCTAATAAATACAAAATCATTAAAGTGATAGTACAACACACTTGAGAACCTTCCGTGAAGGCACAGCCACAAATTACACGTTTCTGTTAGATATCAACAGAACACTGAACTGTCCCTGATTTCAAAGTAGGAGCCAAACGATTGTTTTTACCAACAATACATTCTTCACCAGGCCATGCAGTGAATATTGCCTCAAATATTTGGTCTCTCACTCATCTAATGTCACATTCCGACTTCAGGTGGGGCAGCGATACGAAACGATACGATACGTATCCCGATACTATGGGTGCGATAAGATTCATATCCCGATACTATGGGTGCGATACGATTTATATCCCGATACTATGGGTGCGATACTATTCGTATCCCGAAACTATGGGTGCGATACGATTCATATCCCGATACTATGGGTGCGATACGATTCATATCCCGATACTATGGGTGCAATACGATTTGTATCCCGATACTATGGGTGCGATACGATTCGTATCCTGCTGCAGTACTTTGCAGTTGAATCACAACCCTGAATCATTTGTTTTTAGTTTTCAGGGAGCGGAGATGGGATATTGTAGGGCAGAAACATATATAGGTTAGAGGACACAGGGGATGTTATGCTAGTTACAGCCACCCGGGAAACACTAGAGACTCTGTGAAATGCATAGTATGTATTGCTATACAACGGGTGCACAATGTTTTGGTAAAGAAAGGTAAACTCAGACTGAATATAAAATGACTGGCAAGAGTCTGAGAAACATTGTGCATTTGAGGGAGGAATATTTATGGAAGTCAATTTCTTCATTATGAAGAACACAGCCTTCCGGAATATATGCCTACTCCATCAGGTGAATGTATGCTGAGATGCAGAGAGCATATCCTCCGAAATGTTGTTCCTCAGCATACAGAAGTTGACATCCATGAACATTCTCTCTCTTATGCGTCTCGATTCGCAGTGCCATTCAAAGAATTCATTTGGTTGTTACAAACTAGTCCATTTCCTATTATATTTGTTGCAACATGTCACATAATGATTAAGTTCTTCATCTAAGCTTGCTAAAGAAAGGGTAGATTCCATGGTGTCCTCTTCCTGTGTGAACAAAGGCCTTGCAACTGGAGCCATGGACAATGTGGTACTCATCCACAGTTCTCTTTTAAAGGCCATTTAAGCAATCAATTTATTATTTCCCACCATTTTACAAAGCCTTACATCCTACAGTATGACAGTTTATTGGGGAGCTAATATTTAGAATTAGACAAGATGCTCCAAGCCATGGACATTGTGACCAAGATGCCAACAAAGAAGCCAAGGACTCGTGATGGCTGAGGCAAGGGTAACAGATAGGCGATGGTGTGTAAGATCCGGGCACCTGTGAAGATGCGAAAGTGCAGGAGGGCGGAGCCGAGACTTGGGCCAGTTGCTGTGTACAGCAGACCAATCAGAACAAAGGGGATGACGTTCTCAAGGTCATTCAGATGGCACCTGAAACAGACGAATGCCAATGCTTGTTGCACGTGGGATGAGTTTGAATGAGACCCTTCTATTAGACTAAAATTATATTTTAAAAGTTTATCATAATCAATGAAATGATGCTTCGTATAAAACTAGAATTTATCGGTTACCGTAACTATTTTTCCCTGTTTTACACCGATTGCTACATCTTACCGAGGCAAGGGAGGTAACTGACTATAAAAGTCCAGTTTCCACCCTTGCCGAACTAGGCTGGTATTATGGAGTTACATTTTGGCTGGACTAACGAGTCTATGCATAGTCCAATCAAAATCGCACACCGGAATCGAAATCCGGTTCGTGCAGATTTCGGTCGATTGCAGGATTTGCAATGCATGTGCACCGCCAACTCGTTATCAGCAGATATTTTCCAAATCTTTTCATGTTTTTAATCAAGGTGCTCGCGTGATTTGATGCACTTCGCGATGTAAAAACCGTTTTATCACAATATAGATCTTGATTATCGATCAGATCGTCTTGACCGGGCGACACCTTTTTGTGGGAAGCAAACGCAAGTGATACGAGGGGTGATCTGATTGGTCAATAGGAGAGGCTTAGAAGAGAGATAAATGGTAATAGCCACTGGTAGCACTACGATCGAGCCAAGTAATTCCAGCCTAGTTCGGCAAGGGTGGAAACTAGACTTTTATAGTCAGTTAACTCTCTTGCCTCGGGAAGATGCGATTGCTATGAATAACTTTAAGACAGTGGTCAATCCATATGCTCTAAAAGATTCTTTTTGGAAAATCACATAAAGGAGAATATAGAATAATTGTTGCTTTGTTCTAGCCTCTACTGGCCAAATCAAAATTTGAAAATCTTTTTGTGATGATTTGTTTGTGAAGACAAGCCACCCTTTACTTAGGGGTAATAAAATGGCAGTTTTCATATCACCCCCATCATCTCGAGGGCGGAAGGCCAGAGGGCTGATATTGGGGGTCGAGGGTTGATATGGGGTATGATATGAAAACTGCCATATAATAACCTTTTTATCATATACCCTAACATCATGACTGTATCCATGTTGGTTCTATCACACATGCAAATACCTCATAACATTGATGAGTAAACGATGATATTAGTAACGTGTCACAAGAGGGTTGTAGGCATTCTTCGAGACGAAAAGATGAGTTCACAACTTAAAAATCATTATTTCACTTACCTGCGGACCCTCTCAACTGATTCATGTGTCGATGGTTTCACTCCCATGCCCGCAGTGTCCTCAGGATTTGCAAATACCTGTGACAAAGAAACATCAATGACACATTGATACACTTGACCTGGCATACACACTTGACCTTGCACACACTTGACCTGGCATACACACTTGACCTCACATAAACACTTGACCAAGCATACACACTTGACCTAGCATACACACTTGACCTGGCATACACACTTGACGCAGCATACACACTTGACGCAGCATACACACTTGACCCACTTGACGCAGCATGCACACTTGACCCAGTTGACGCAGCATACACACTTGACCCAGTTGACCTAGAAAACACACTTGACCTTACCATACAAACTTGACCCAGCATACACACTTGACCCAGTTGACGCAATATACACACTTGACCCAGTTGACCTAGCAAACACACTTGACTTTACCATACAAACTTGACCCAGCATACACACTTGACCCAGTTGACCTAGCAAACAAACTTGATCCTAGCATACAAACTTGCCCCAGCATACACACTTGACCCGATTTACACACTTGACCCGGCATACACACTTTACCTGGAATACATACTTACCCAAGCATACACACTTGACCCAGCAAACACTCTTGACCTAGCATACACACTTGACCAGGCATACACAATTGCCCTAGCATACACACTTTACCAGGCATACACAAGTGGCCTGATATACACACTCGACCCTAGCATACATACTTGAACTTTCACACACACATGACCCAGCATACACACTTGACCCAACATACACACTTGCCCCAGCATACACTCTTGACCTGGCATACACACTTGACCTGATTTACACACTTGACCCGGCATACAAACTTTACCTGGAATACATACTTACCCAAGCATACACACTTGGCCCAGCAAACACTCTTGACCTAGCATACACACTTGACCAGGCATACACAATTCCCCTAGCATACACACTTTACCAGGCATACACAAGTGGCCTGATATACACACTCGACCCTAGCATACATACTTGAACTTTCACACACACATGACCCAGCATACACACTTTACCCAGCAAACACTCTTGACCTAGCATACACACTTGACCAGGCATACACAATTGCCCTAGCATACACACTTTACCAGGCATACACAAGTGGCCTGATATACACACTCGACCCTAGCATACATACTTGAACTTTCACACACACTTTACCCAGCATACACACTTTACCCAGCATACACACTTGACCCAGCATACACACTTGACCCAGCATACACACTTGACCCAGGAGACACACTTGACCTAGTAGACACACTTGACCCAGCATACACACTTGACCCAGCATACACACTTTACCCAGCATACACACTTGACCCAGCATACACACTTGACCCAGCATACACACTTGACCCGGCAAACAAACTTGACCTGACATACACACTTGACCCAACATACACACTTGACCAAGCATACACACTTGACCTGTCATACACACTTGACCCGGCATACACACTTGACCCGGCATACACACTTGACCCAGCATACACACTTGACCTGGCATACACACTTGACTCGGCATACCCACTTGACCTGACATACACACTTGACCCGGCATACACACTTGACCTGTCATACACACTTGACCCGGCATACACACTTGACCCAGCATACACACTTGACCCGGCATACACACTTGACCTGGCATACACACTTGACCTGGCATACACACTTGACCAAGCATACATACTTGACCCAGTATACACACTTGACCAAGCATACACACTTGACCCAGCATACAGACTTGACCTAGCATACACACTTGACCCAGCAAACACACTTGACCCAGTATACACACTTGACAACATATACACACTCGTCCTAGCATACACACTTGACCAAGCATACACACTTGACCTAGCATACACACTTGACCAAGCATACACACTTGACCCAGTATACACACTTGACCTGGCATACACACTTGACCCAGCATACAGACTTGACCTAGCATACACACTTGACCCAGCATACACACTTGACCTGTCATACACACTTGACTCAGCATACACACTTGACCCAGCATACACACTTGACCTGTCATACACACTTGACCCGGCATACACACTTGACCTGACATACACACTTGACCCAGCATACTCACTTGACCCACTTGACGCAGCATGCACACTTGACCCAGTTGACGCAGCATACACACTTGACCCAGCTGACCTAGCAAACACACTTGACCTTACCATACAAACTTGACCCAGCATACACACTGGACCCAGTTGACCTAGCAAACAAACTTGATCCTAGCATACAAACTTGCCCCAGCATACACACTTGACCCGATTTACACACTTGACCCGGCATACACACTTTACCTGGAATACATACTTACCCAAGCATACACACTTGACCCAGCAAACACTCTTGACCTAGCATACACACTTGACCAGGCTTACCAAATTGACCCAGCAGACCAACTTGGCCTAGTATACACACTTGACCCAGCATATACACTTGACCCAGCACACACACCTGCCCAAACATACACACTTGCCCTAGCATACACACTTGCCCTAGCATACTCACTTGACCCAGCATACACACCTGCCCTAACATACACACTTGCCCTAGCATATACACATGACCCAGCATACATACTTGACCTGTCTGTGTGAATTCAAGGTTAGAATAGATACCCAGCAAACTATAGTCGTCATAATATTTTATATTTCTGTGTTTTGTTTCTGGTTTAACATCTTGTCTCTGAAAAGTACATAATTTTACTGAAACATAACAGTTATTAAAGGAGCCCTGGAATTGGTTTCAACAGCATCGGTCAACACGTGATCGGCCAAGGTCGGGACGACCAAGAGTAACCACCCCCGCCCAAGATTGGTACATCCAACTGCCCGTGAAAGGACGACCACAGCCACCTCAACCCCATCCCAAATACCCGGACTGCGCAGAATCTCCGACCGGATCTTACAAAACCGTTTAAGAGCAGCAGGTCCACAAGCAAGACGTCCTGTTGGAAGTTCGACGCGTCATATTGAGTCATCAGCATCGTCCACAATGACTTCATTGGTGTCGTCAACACTGGGTATGGCCTCAACTGCGACGAAGAGATGTCTGGTTCAGCGACGAATCAAGATTTCTCCTCCGTCGAGGCGATGGAAGAGCTCGGAGATACAGACGGAAAACTGCGTACAGGAAGTGGACAGGTTAGGTGGGGGTATCGTTATGATGTGGGCTCTCTCATCATGGCAGGACAGGCTTGGTCCATATCCAGGGCAATCTTACGGCTCAACGATACATCAACGAAATTTTCCTACCACACGCCGTCCCAATTGCAGCCAACGGCAACGGTGTATTCCAGCAGGACAACGCTCGACGCATACAGCACGGATCACAAGAGCCTGTCTACACTACAACAACAGAGCCCCAGACGTTGCAGCATGTGGCTTTTGCGTTGCAGGCCGAGTGCGCTTCCATTCCCCAGGATGTGATTCGCATACTCGTCTTTTCCATGGGCAGGAGATGTCAGGCCGCTATCGATTCCAACGGGGGTATATGCGTTATTGATGGTAGCTGACCTTCATCTTGGACTTTTCCTATGTACCGATAACTCAGATGACTGCACTCACCAAGTGTTCTCTCCACAACATTTTAGCTCAATACATGGTACGGTTCCTCTTATAAATGTATTTTCCTACCTCGCATAAATCTGGTTTTGCGCTTCTTCTTTTTTGAAGGGTTTATTTTCATGTTTAAATTTAATTAGTTTTAATCATTCCAACGTTCATACATGACATGCATACGAGAAATAAATTTGGGACAATTCACCATGCCGCAGACTACAGAAGAGAATGTCTGCCTGGAGAGCGGAAGGTGGGAGTTCCATCCCAAGCATTTCATACTAAAAGACATTATAAGATGATACTGGATGATACCCTGTCTGGCCCTCAGCATTAAGGGAATAACGATGCACGCACGCACATGCACATCGCTATGTTAGTGCAATAATCTTGAACGCGACATTCAACCCCATGTCACACCATTAAATTGTCTTGGCACTTGAGTCATATCATTATACACAGCTGACACCAGTTAATTAGACTGGGATTTCCACACACATGTAGAATGCATGACCATGCATGAGATACTGCTTCATAAATATGTTTTTTCATGTGGCCGTTTTGACTTTTTTAGTGTGGCCGTTTTGACTTTTTTAGTGTGGCCGTTTTGACTTTTTAGTGTGGCCGTTTTGACTTTTTAGATTGGCCGTTTTGACTTTTTAGTGTGGCCGTTTTGACTTTTTTAGTGTGGCCGTTTTGACTTTTTTAGTGTGGCCGTTTTGACTTTTTAGATTGGCCGTTTTGACTTTTTAGTGTGGCCGTTTTGACTTTTTTAGTGTGGCCGTTTTGACTTTTTTAGTGTGGCCTTTTTTACTTTTTAGTGTGGCCGTTTTGACTTTTTAGATTGGCCGTTTTGACTTTTTTAGTGTGGTCGTTTTGACTTTTTAGTGTGGCCGTTTTGACTTATTTTAGTGTGGACCTTTTGACTAGGGCGTCTGTGGCCCTTTTGACCAGTTCTCAACCCCACTGCCCCCTCGAGTTATTTTACTCAGAATGAGGTAAACATGTGATTGAACACCACAATAAGTAATACGTTATAGATAATGTTATTATCTCTCACAGTTTAGTGAGATACTGTGATTCAAGAATAAGTTTCATGCTAATCTAGTTTTTGTCAGTTTTACGGTATAACTGTGATGACATTGCACAAATACGTCTGCAATTAACCGAACCCTTCCGCAGCTTGCACACACTGACAGTTGTTGCTAAATATGTCGGCGTGACTGTTGGTCTCCCTTATGCAATATAGACTATATCTGGTTGACGGGTCATCATTCTAACTGGGAAAACAAGCAAAATCCTCGGTGGTAGAATACTGGGTCAAAGTTCGCAAGTGTGGCGTTATTGTCGTTATCGTGATCACCTGGCCACATTCATAGGTTTAGGCATCGTAACAAAATATGCACTTACCTTTTTGGTCAATCTGTGAAATGAAGTGACAACACTCATTGCCATGGTTTTTAAAACAACCACTGTGGCATAGAACGCAAAGTAGGGGAACACGGGGTTGTCAAACACACCAGCCATGTTGAATGATTTCTCAACACAACAACTTTGACACACTTTGCAGTGAACGCTCCGGGACGGTCACGTGACTGCGTGTGTTATCACACGGGGGGGGACGTAGCCGGTTTAATCACATTTGTGAATTCATGGCTCCGCGATTGAGCACGGTGGTAGAAGTTTAGATATGCATGCTTACATCTAACACCTTTTTTATAACCTCTGTTATAAAACCTGTCAATTAGTAGGAATATATTGCACATATATTGTCGTCAATAGCTCTATGTTTGTTTGTCTGTTATCGCCGCACTCAGCCTTATCGTAGTTATCGCCGCACTCAGCCTTATCGTAGTTATCGCCCCACTCAGCCTTATCGTAGTTATCGCCCCACTCGACACTTGTCGTAGTTATCGCCGCACTCAGCAATATTCCAGCTCCTTGGACTTTCCATTAAGAGAATAAATTGCATCAATAATTTCCTCAACAGTGATATTGGCATCAAGAATACATCGATCAATATCAGTATAATACTCATGATGACATATATCTGTATCTGTAATATTAATATATCTGTTAATATTTTGTATCTCTTTCAAAAAATCTGTAGGGTTGTCCGGAGATTCGCATACAAGTACCTTATCAACTTTCTGTTGCCGAGATTGAAAGCTATATCTCCGACATGTTTGCTTATATTTATTCCAAACAGTACAATATTGTTTTCTGGAATGTCCATTTCTATGTCGTCTGAATTGTCGAAGTGCTCTCCTGCAGGGACGTTTAGCAGATCTACAAGCACCATTTAATATTATTCTATAGGATGTATTATGGATATTTGACACACATTTTTTCTTACAATCAGCTGACTCTAAAATATTTTTTACAAATCGTTCAGAGCTATATATCTTCATCTACATCAACATCTAACAACGGACGATCTAATAGATAACATATTAGGTCGGAAACTATTATTAAAACGAGAGTTCAGCTCACTGTACACGACCAACCCACACAACAACACAAGACGTGAGTGAATAAATAGTCAATTTGTTAGACAGCCATAGAATGGTTTGGTTGGTTGTTTTACGCCGCACTCAGCAATATTCCTGCTATATTACGGCGGTCTGTAAATAATCGAGTCTGGACCAGACAATCCAGTGTTTGACAGCATGAGCATCGATCCACGCATTTTGGGATCGATGACATGTATCAACCAAGTCAGCGAGCCTGACCACCCGATCCCGTTAGTCGCCTTTTACGACAAGCATAGTCGCCTTTTACGGCAAGAATGGGCTGCTGAAGACCTATTATATCCCGGAATCTTCACGGGTCCAGCCATAGAATGATTTGTGACTGTCTGTCGTCCGTATTTATACCCATTCTAGCTGCTACAGATAATTTAATTGACTGATGAAACTGACGATAAAGTTGTTATCTTTGTTAAGTTGTAACTTTGGTGGCGCTTTCTAGACAGAATTATACAATTTAGTTTTGACCGAGCTATTGATGATAAAGGTGTTTATAAGTGAAGTTTAGTAAGAATAATAGTTCACCAGTTGCTAGTATGCAACGAATGTATACGTGGTACGGGTGATTTGATAAGGGTGGATGATAAACAGCTGCAGATACAAATAAAAAAATGAACGTCTTACATTTGTTTGTCTAACTCTATCTGACCAGCATCTTGAGAGATGCGGGTCTTGCCCCATGTGCGTTATCAGGTTGACCCCTGGCAGTCTAAAGATAATGGAACGTGAGCCGTTGTATGTAGTAATTATTATGTTTATTAATACATGTACTCCCAAGTCAATGTTAGTATATTCAGCATAATGTCAATGTCGTACAGTAAACTACGTTTATAACGAACACGCTTACAACGAACTGTCGGATATAACGAACTGGTTTTTTTGTCCAAACCATTTGCTGTGTTTATGGTGTATATATGTCTATAACGAACTATGGTTACAACGAACTAAACTTAGTGGTACCTTTGAGTTCGTTACAACCGTAGTTTACTGTAAAAGCTTCTCTCTCAAATATATTGCACTACACATTGTTCCCTTGTAAGAAAAATATTTTTTATAGTTTTATAAATGCCAAATGTGTCCAGTTGTTCTTTCAAACTGTTTGTAACAATTCCTGAAACAGCTTTATCCTCATCGCTATTACTTCACGGGTTGGTATACACTACGGGGCTCCTTCAGCCAAGAGAGGCTCGTGTGGCCACGTCATATAAGGTGCTGCAATTTGCTGTGCAGATTTGCGTCCCTTTGGCACGCCAGAAACCGATTATCGTGGTTTCGAAGCCTGGTTCAGCCAGATTATGTTTCAAGGTTTGTCAGCATCATGCCAGTACGCGTGGGTTTCCTTGTGCGCACCCTGTCATTGCTCTCAGTTAAAACTGTACAGAGCAGACAGGCAAAGTTATGAAGTGAGAAACATGGCCATGTGTGTGATGTAAGCCCAGTGCTTGTCTGGACACTCACTGGCAGAAACCTTCTCGCTTGCCCAGGTAGGTTGGTTGGTTGGTCGGTTTAATGTTTAACGCCGCACTTAGCAGTATTCCAGCTATATAAAGGCGGTCTGTAAATAATCGAGTCTGGACCAGACAATCCAGTGATTGATATCATGAGCATCGATCCAAGCAATTGGGATTGATGATATGCATCAACCAAGTCAGCGAGCCTGACCACCCGATCCCGTTAGTCGCCTTTTACGACAAGCATAGACACCTTTTACAGCAAGCATGGGTTGCTGAAGACCTATTCTACCCCGGAATCCGCTTGCCCAGGTTACAAATGGTGACTGCACTGCAAAGCGGCCTTTGGTATTTATGGGAGATGAGAAACAGTGTATGCATAGCTGTGAAGTATTGACAATGATTTCCCTGGTAACTCCCATACTTCAATATAGACTTACAATAGTCGTAGATAAGATCGATTTGTGGAATGGATCACAGACAGTTTATTCATTACCGTTCGATGTCTTGAATTGAAACAATTTGAACTTGTGTATGGGTTTTATAAGCGTACCTCTTTGTCAAGTTTCTAAACGCCTGGGAGCGTTTATTAGGACAATTACGGTAATGTGATTTGCTGTGCATATTTAACACAAATTTGCAGCATATATGGAACATGATTAGATCAAACAATGAAAACAGTACTGTTCAAACCTTTAATAAAGCCAATAAAATTTACATCTCTAACATCATCTAATAAAAACAAAATCACCAAAGTGATAGTACAACACACTTAAGAACCTTCCATGAAAACACAGCCACAAATTACACGTTTCTGTTAGATATCGACAGAACACTGTTCTGTCCCTGATTTCAAAGTAGAAAGCCAAACGATTGTTTTTACCAACATTACATCCTTTACCGGGACATGCAGTGAATATTTTCTTTTATTGCATCAAATATTTGGTCCCTCACTCATCTCATGTCACATTCCGACTTCAGGTGTATTGGTACGGTGGGGCAGCGATACGATACGTATCCCGATACTATGGGTGCGATACAATTCGTATCCCGATACTATGGGTGCGATACAATTCGTATCCCGACATTATGGGTGCGATACGATTCGTATCCCGCTACAGTACTTTGCAGGTGAATCACAACCCTGAATCATTTGTTTTTAGTTTTCATGGAGCGGAGATGGGATATTGTAGGGCAGAAACATATAGGTTAGAGGACACAGGGGATGTTATGCTACTTACAGCCACACTGGAAATACCAGAGACTCTGAAAGCAGGTTGCTGAACAGTTTCTGTTATTATTCCCATCGTTTTACAATACAACTTGTAATGAAATGTTCTGCATGTATTGCGATACAGGGGTTGTGAATCTATGTATTGTATCGTGGGACTTGTATCACCATACAAAAATGTAATGCCGTATCGTTACATCACTAGTGCCTAGAAAATGAACAAACAATTTACAGGTTCGAACCATCATTCAAAGAATTCATTTGTTAGTGAAACCTTGGTCCATTTACTATTATATTTGTTGCAACATGTCACATAATGATTGAGTTCTTCATCTGAAATTGATGAAGAAAGGGTAGATTCCATGGTGTCCACTTCCTGTCTGGACAAAGGCCTTGCAACTGGAGCCATGTACAATGTGGTACTCATCCACAGTTCTCTTTTAAAGGCCATTTAAGCAATCAATTTATTATTTCCCACCATTTTCTAAAGCCTTACATCCTACAGTATGATAGCTTATGGGGGAGCTAATATTTAGTAGCAGACAAGATGCTCCAAGCCATGGACACTGTGGCCAAGAGACCAGCGAGGAAACCAAGGACTCGTGATGGCTGAGGCAGGGGTAACAGATAGGCGATGGTGTGGAAAAACCGGGCACCTGTGAAAATGCGGAAGTGCAGGAGAGCGGAGCCGAGACTTGGGCCTGTTGCTGTGTACAGCAGACCAATCAGAACAAAGGGGATGACGTTCTCAAGGTCATTCATGTGGCACCTGAAACAGACGAAGGCCAATGCTTGTTGCACGTGGGATGAGGTGTAATCAGACCCAACTATTAGATTAAAATTATATCTTAAAAGTTTATCATTTAACAATGAAAAATGAAGCTAGAATTTATTGGTTACCGAAACTATTTTTCATCCTGTTTTACACCGATTGTTATTAATAACCTTAAGACAGTGGTCGGTCGAAGCTCTTTAGTTTAAAACAATTTCTTTGGAAAAACACATCCAAGGAGAATAAAGAATAATTGTTGCTGTGTTCGAGTATTTACTGTCCAAATTATAATTTCAAAATCTTTTTGTAATGATTTGTTTGTGACGACAGACCACCATAGTACTTAGAGGTTATAAAATTTCAGTTTTCATATCTTATCCCATATCAACCTCAGACCCCAAAATCAGCCTTGTTATCACATACCACAACATCAACTGGTAAAATGTATCCATTCACAAAAAATCTCTAAATTCTGTCCGTCTGTTCTGTTCTGTCTAAAGTCCGTAAGAATGTGTTCACCTTGTTTGGAAGACATTGTCACGTGACAGTTAGCCGAGCAGACGACGCACAAAGGGACATAACTCTTACTTTCTACCACCAGACTGATATCAATAGCCCATTCAAAATAATTTGACTTGACATTTCACCCGGCAGGGGGTGTAATACGGGCCTGGATATTACACCCCATGTGATATGCCCGTCTCTAAGTCACGACATATCTCATATCATTGATGAGTATAATATAATATGAGTTACGTGTGTCACAAGAGGGCTGTAGGCATTCTTCGAGACGAAGATGAGTTCACAACTTAAAAAGTATTATTTCACTCACCGGCGGACCCTCTCAACTGATTCATGTGTCGTTGGTTTGGGTGCTCCCAGGCCGGATGCGTCCTCGGGATTGATATATACCTGTGAAAAAAGAAACATCAATCATGCATTATTAAGCAATCCGGAATATGAACTAGTGGGCAAAAGAAAGTATACACCAATGTCTGATGGTCAAGTGCGAAAATAATCGCGAGATTTCGGACTTTCTCCTACTTAAAACAAAATTCGATCAAGTTAATGCCTCAAACTAATCTTCAAGTGATATTCACTTTACTTTGCTATACTATGGTAGGGGAATCTTTCAAGGAAAACGATGGGACGATTTAGCACCCATACTCAAACTATTGGAGTGTTAGCAAAATGATTGCATCTATCCAACTGTTTATAAAGTTCACGTAACTTTGTTTTATTCGTTAATAGGGTCACATGCGATAGTCCATGCACAATTGTAGTTTGAAACTCAAAACAGGTGACGTGTACATGACGTTCACATGAACATGGGGGTGGTCAGATCACAGTTCACTGGAATGATCAGAGTCAACCAGGTACTGTCTTGATAGGTTTGTGGTCTTTAACGGCCGCCTGGTACGCTCAGTAACGAGTATGACCACCGTGAGCACCAATGCACGCCCAGACTCGCCGTCTCATTGATGTTGTCAGCCGCCTGATGACGTAATCGGGAATCTGATTCTATCCAATTATTACAGCGGCGGCAAGCTGTTGCTGGTTTGCTGGTGGGTGTGGACGTCTTCGGATCTGACGCTTCAGATGATCCCACAAGTGTTCAATTGGGATCAAGTCAGATGAGAGCCACGGAAGAACGTTGACGTTGTTCGTATTTAAGAAGTCCTGGACGAGCCTTGCAGTGTGTGGTCTGTCGTTGTCATCCCGCAGGAGTGTTCCCTGTTGCTGTTGGCGAAGTAATGGAAGCACTACGGGTTGAAGAACATCTTCTTTGTATCGCTGGCCCTGGCCCTTGACGTTGCCACGGATGATGACAAGTCTCGTTCGTTGGTTGCCACAAATTCCACCCCAAACCATCACACTACCACCACCATAGGGATGAACGTCTTGAATGCAGCCTGGCACCAAACGTTCCCCCTACCCCACCCCATGCGACGGTATACTCGAGATCAACCTCGTGAAACAGTTGAAACCTGCTTTCGTCAGAGCAAAGCTCTCTCCGCCAATCACGGATATGGCGACGTCCTACTGTCCTGGCCCATTGCAGTCTTCGACGTCGATGTTTCCGGATCAATGCCATTCCACGGAAGGGACGTTGAGCTCAAATATCTGCTTCACGTAGACGTCGTAGCACCATGCATCGACTGATACGGTGTCCTCACGCCGTTGCTGCCGTTTCCGTCGCCTGCTGCACAGATGGTACGTGCGCAAGTGCCGATCTTCCTTGCATACACACTTGACCTAGCAAACACACTTGACCTAGCATAAACACTTGACCTGGCACACACACTTGCCTTGGCATACACACTTTGACCTAGCATACACACTTGACCTAGCATACACACTTGACCCAGCATATACACTTGACCCAGCATATACACTTGACCTAGCATACACACTTGACCTACATACACACTTGACCTGGCAAACACACTTGCCCTAGCATACACACTTGACCTTGCATACACACTTGCCCTAACACACACACAAATACTCGAGTCTGGACCACCCAATCCAGTGATTGATATCATGAGCACCGATCCAAGCAATTGGGATACGCCAACATGCAACAAACAAGTGTGCGAGCCTGAGCACCCGATCCCGTTAGTCGCCTCTTACAAACAAACAAACAAACAAAAACTCTTACGATAAGTACAGTCGTCAAAGGGGTCTATATAAGTTAATTTACACAGATTAAGATCAACATATGATTGAACACAATTCCCTACAAAATACAGTTACTGTAATTGTATTTCACGGTTTTACGGTGTTCTGTGATTCAAGAATTATGTTCATGCTAATCTATTTTTTGTCAGTTTTACGGTATACCGGTGATGACATTGCACAAATACGTCTGCAAATAACTGAGCACTTGGCGTTGACAGTTGTTGCTATACGTGTATATGTCTGTTGCTCTCCCTTATGCAATATAGATAATATATGGGTGACTGAACATCATTGCGAAATGAAGCAATATCCACAGTGGTTGAATACTCGGTCATAGTCGGCAGGTGTGGAGCTGTTACCTCGCCACATTTATAGGTTCCGGCTTCGCAGTTCACAACAAAATATGCACTTACATGTAGCTTTTAGTTATTCTGTGAAATGAAGTGACAAAACTCATTGCCATGGTTTTTAAAACAACCACTGTGGCATAGAACGCAAAGTTGGGGGACACGGGATTGTCAAACACACCAGCCATGCAAAACGATTTCTCGACACAAAAACTGTGACATGCTTTGCGGTAAGCGCGCTGGGGCAGTCACGTGACTGCATGTGTTATAACGCGAAAGGACAAGGATATAACCTGCTTAATCACATTTGTGAATTCGTGGCTCCGCGAGCGAGAGAGAAATTTAAGTATTCATAGTCACACCTTGCACTTCTTTCATTACCTCTTATTTAAAAAAACATTCCATTTGTTGTAATATATTGCACCAGAGACCATCAAATATCTTTGGTCTCTGATTGCACATATTGTCTTGAATCTTTCATTCTGTCTTTGCCTGTTAATTTATCGCCGCACTCAGCAATATTCTAGCTTCAAAGTTGTCTGTACATAATGGAATCTGGGCCAGACAAAATATCCAGTGATTGATACAATGAGCAGCGTATCACGCCGTCGGGGTACGATGACATGCAATCAACCAAGTCACCGAGGTTGACCACCCGATCCACTTTCGAGCATAGTGTAGATATTCGTCAATACATTGTGTAAATGTTTCCATTCAGTGACACTTAATTCTGAAGTTTAAAATTGTTTTAAACTTCGGTCTACAAGAGAAGAGCCTGAGAAGAAAACATACAGTTTAATGGAGATACCTTGAGATATTTGATGACTACGGTAATCTTGTCGATGTATGTTTCGAGTATCTTTTAATGGCGTTGTGAGGCCGCAATACTCCAGCAATATCACGGCAGGGAACACGAAGAACGAGATTCGCACCGTGTGCCCATCCTCAAAAGCGATCCCGGGTCTTCAAGCGTCACTTTACCACTTGCCTGTACCCCACAGCTTCAATGTATGGGAAGTAGAATTATCAACGGACAATTTGAAATTACATTTTGTAAACTAAACACTGAAGGATGTACAGTTATCACAACTATATGGGAGAGTAGCCATAGAAAACTGACACCACTACTCCCCACGCATGCTCAAGAATTTGTCTCCTCATGGCGAATACGGGTCAGAATGGGTCCTTTACAACCATGCTTGTCTCCTCGTGGAGGATCCTGGTCAGAACGGGCCCTTAACACCCATGCTTCTCTCCTTGTGGAGGATTCTGGTCAGAATGGGTCCTTAACACCCATGCTTCTCTCCTTGTGGAGGATCCTGGTCAGAATGGGTCCTTAATACCCATGCTTGTCTCCTCGTGGAGGATACTGGTCAGAATGGGTCCTTAACACCCCTGCCGGTCTCCTCGTGGAGGATCCTGATCAGAATGGGTCCTCTACACCCATGCCGGTCTCCTCGTGGAGGATCCTGGTCAGAATGTGTCCTCTACAACCATGCCGGTCTCCTCGTGGGGGATCCATGACAGAATGAGTCCTTAACACCCATCCCTGTCTCCTTGTGGGGGATCCTGGTCAGAATGGGTCCTCTACACCCATGCCGGTCTCCTCGTGGAGGATCCTGGTCAGAATGGGTCCTCTACACCCATGCCGGTCTCCTCGTGGAGGATCCTGATCAGAATGTGTCCTCTAAAACCATGCTGGTCTCCTCGTGGAGGATACTGGTCGGAATGGACCCTTAACACCCATGCCGGTCTCCACGTGGAGGATCCTGGTCAGAATGGGTCCTTAACACCCATGCTTGTCTCCTCGTGGAGGATACTGGTCAGAATGTGTCCTCTATAACCATGCTCCTCTCCTCGTGGAGGATCTTGGTCAGAATGGACCCTCAACACCCATGCTGGTCTCCTTGTGGAGGATCCTGGTCAGAATGGACCCTTAACACCCATGCTTGTCTCCTCGTGGAGGATCCAGGTCAGAATGGGTCCTTAACACCCATGCTTGTCTCCTCGTGGAGGATCCAGGTCAGAATGGGTTCTGAACACCCATGCTGGTCTCTTCGTGGAGGATCCTGGTCAGAATGGACCCTCAACACCTATGCTGGTCTCCTTGTGGAGGATCCTGGTCAGAATGGACCCTTAACACCCATGCTTGTCTCCTCGTGGAGGATCCAGGTCAGAATGGGTCCTTAACACCCATGCTTGTCTCCTCGTGGAGTATCCAGGTCAGAATGGGTCCTGAACACCCATGCTTGTCTCCTCGTGGAGGATCCAGGTCAGAATGGGTCCTTAACACCCATCCTTGTCTCCTCGTGGAGGATCCTGGTCAGAATGGGTTCTGAACACCCATGCTGGTCTCCTTGTGGAGGATCCTGGTCAAAATGGACCCTTAACACCCATGCTTGTCTCCTCTTGGAGGATCTTGGTCAGAATGGGTTCTTAACACCCATGCTTGTCTCCTCGTGGAGGATCCTGGTCAGAATGGGTCCTGAACACCCATGCTGGTCTCCTCTTGGAGGATCCTGGTCAGAATGGGTAATTAACACCCATGCCGGTCTCCTCGTGGAGAATCTTGGTCAGAATGGGTTCTTTACACCCATGCTTGTCTCCTCGTGGAGGATCCTGGTTAGAATGGACCCTCAACACCCATGCTTGTCTCCTCTTGGAGGATCCTGGTCTCAATGGGTCCTTAACACCCATGCCGGTCTCCTCGTTGAGGATCCTGGTCAGAATGGGTCCTTAACACCCATGCCGGTCTCCTCGTGGAGGATCTTGGTCAGAATGGACCCTCAACACCCATGCTTGTCTCCTCGTGGAGGATCCAGGTCAGAATGAGTCCTTAACACCCATGCTGGTCTCCTCGTGGAGGATCTTGGTCAGAATGGACCCTCAACACCCATGCCGGTCTCCTCGTGGAGGATCCTGGTCAGAATGTGTCCTCAACACCCATGCTTGTCTCCTCGAGGAGGATACTGGTCAGAATGTGTCCTCTACAACCATGCCGGTCTCCTCGTGGGGGATCCATGACAGAATGAGTCCTTAACACCCATCCCTGTCTCCTTGTGGGGGATCCTGGTCAGAATGGGTCCTTAAAATTAACATCCATGCTTGTATCCACGTGGAGGATCCTGGTCAGAATGGGTCCTTAACACCCATGCTTGTCTCCTCGTGGAGGATCCTGGTCAGAATGTGTCCTCTATAACCATGCTTGTCTCCTCGTGGAGGATCCTGGACACACTTTGATCCTTTACAACACCCATCTCTGTCTCCTCGTGGAGGATCCTGGTCAGAATGGGTCCTTACTACCCATGCTTGTATCCACGTGGAGGATCCAGGTCAGAATGGGTCCTTAACACCCATGCTTGTCTCCTCGTGGAGGATCCTGGTCAGAATTTGTCCTTTATAACATGCTTGTCTCCTCGTGGAGGATCCTGGTCAGAATGGGTCCTTAACACCCATACCGGTCTCCTCGTGGAGGATCCTGGTCAGAATGGGTCCTCTATAGCCATGCTTGTCTCCACGTGGAGGATCCTAGTCAGAATGGACCCTCAACCCCCATGCTTGTCTCCTCGTGGAGGATCCTGGTCGGAATGGGTCCTCTACACCCATGCCGGTCTCCTCGTGGAGGATCCTGATCAGAATGTGTCCTCTATAACCATGCTGGTCTCCTCGTGGAGGATCCAGGTCAGAATGGGTCCTCTACACCCATGCCGGTCTCCTCGTGGAGAATCCTGGTCAGAATGGACCCTTAACACCCATGCCGGTCTCCACGTGGAGGATCCTGGTCAGAATGGGTCCTCTACACCCATGCCTGTCTCCTCGTGGAGGATACTGGTCAGAATGTGTCCTCTATAACCATGCTCCTCTCCTCGTGGAGGATCTTGGTCAGAATGGACCCTCAACACCCATGCTGGTCTCCTTGTGGAGGATCCTGGTCAGAATGGACCCTTAACACCCATGCTTGTCTCCTCGTGGAGGATCCAGGTCAGAATGGGTCCTCAACACCCATGCTGGTCTCCTTGTGGAGGATCCTGGTCAGAATGGACCCTTAACACCCATGCTTGTCTCCTCGTGGAGGATCCAGGTCAGAATGGGTCCTCAACACCCATGCTTGTCTCCTCGTGGAGGATCCAGGTCAGAATGGACCCTTAACACCCATGCTGGTCTCCTCGTGGAGGATCCTGGTCAGAATGGGTTCTGAACACCCATGCCGGTCTCCTCGTGGAGGATCTTGGTCAGAATGGGTCCTTACTACCCATGCTTGTATCCACGTGGAGGATCCAGGTCAGAATGGGTCCTTAACACCCATGCTTGTCTCCTCGTGGAGGATCCTGGTCAGAATTTGTCCTTTATAACCATGCTTGTCTCCTCGTGGAGGATCCTGATCAGAATGGGTCCTCTACACCCATGCCGGTCTCCTCGTGGAGGATCCTGGTCAGAATGGGTCCTCTACACCCATGCCGGTCTCCACGTGGAGGATCCAGGTCAGAATGGGTCCTCAACACCCATGCTGGTCTCCTTGTGGAGGATCCTGGTCAGAATGGATCCTTAACACCCATACCGGTCTCCTCGTGGAGGATCCTGGTCAGAATGGACCCTCAACACCCATGCTTGTCTCCTCGTGGAGGATCCTGGTCAGAATGGGTCCTCTACACCCATGCCGGTCTCCTCGTGGAGGATCCTGATCAGAATGGGTCCTCTACACCCATGCTGGTCTCCTCGTGGAGGATCCAGGTCAGACTGGGTCCTCTACACCCATGCCGGTCTCCTCGTGGAGGATCCTGGTCAGAATGGACCCTTAACACCCATGCCGGTCTCCACGTGGAGGATCCTGGTCAGAATGGGTCCTTAACACCCATGCTTGTCTCCTCGTGGAGGATACTGGTCAGAATGTGTCCTCTATAACCATGCTCCTCTCCTCGTGGAGGATCTTGGTCAGAATGGACCCTCAACACCCATGCTGGTCTCCTTGTGGAGGATCCTGGTCAGAATGGACCCTTAACACCCATGCTTGTCTCCTCGTGGAGGATCCAGGTCAGAATGGGTCCTCAACACCCATGCTGGTCTCCTCGTGGAGGATCCTGGTCAGAATGGGTTCTGAACACCCATGCCGGTCTCCTCGTGGAGGATCCTGATCAGAATGGGTCCTCAACACCCATGCTGGTCTCCTCTTGGAGGATCCTGGTCAGAATGGGTAATTAACACCCATGCCGGTCTCCTCGTGGAGAATCCTGGTTAGAATGGACCCTCAACACCCATGCTTGTCTCCTCTTGTAGGATCCTGGTCAGAATGGGTCCTCTACACCCATGCCGGTCTCCTCGTTGAGGATCCTGGTCAGAATGGGTCCTTAACACCCATGCCGGTCTCCTCGTGGAGGATCTTGGTCAGAATGGACCCTCAACACCCATGCTTGTCTCCTCGTGGAGGATCCAGGTCAGAATGAGTCCTTAACACCCATGCTGGTCTCCTCGTGGAGGATCTTGGTCAGAATGGACCCTCAACACCCATGCTGGTCTCCTCGTGGAGGATCCAGGTCAGAATGGGTCCACAACACCCATGCTTGTCTCCTCGTGGAGGATCCGGGTCCATATGTGTTGAGTATCATATAACACCCGTAATTATGATAATATATAACAGCTTCATTTGAACAAGGTTCAATTCAATTTCATGTATTAAAATACCAATGTCCTATTTATAACCATTTGTATAATGTAATTGGTCGTTTTTTATAGTGTCTGCACTTTCATACATTGTAACGCATGAGTATGCGAGATGAAGAGTCGACATTGTCACAAACCGACAGGGCCACCGAAAAGGTATCAATATCAGTTGTTACTAGTGAGTGAGTGAGTGAGTTTGGTTTAACGCCGCTTTTAACAGTATTCCAGTTATATCACGGCGTGTCAGCTTAATGTGGGAGGAAAGCCCGAAGTGATGCAGGTCTCAGACGTTTACCCCTTCGGTGAAACCCACGAGCACGGGTATGGTGCTGACAAACCTAGAAACATAATTGGGGCGAACCGGGATTCGAACACACAATCATAGGTTTCTGGCGTGCCCAAGGGACGCAACTCTGCACAGCGAATCGCGGCGCCTTAGACGACTGGGCCACCCGTGCCCCCCAGTTGTTACTATGAAATGTGGGTACGTTAATGTTTCTGCTATCCTCACACAAGCATTCCCCCAGAGGCACATGTGTCCACCAAAAAGCCAAATAATGACAGGTTTAATGTCAAATTACTCTTTCAGCAAAACCTTTGTAATGAGGCACCAAACAAACATTAAACCTCCATGTGAACTAGCTGAAGCGACATTCCTTAGTTTGAATGTGATCACAAAAACATGTTTGGTTTGGTGAAATCCGTTATTAATAAAAATGGAAGGTTAAACAATGTTTGAAAACCATTGAAAATATTAATAATAACTCATTAGAGTTAACAGCTGAAGTCACAGTTTAGTGATATACTGTGATTCAAAATAGTTAATATGCTAATCTCGTTTGTGGCAGTTTTACGGTATAACGCCGATGACATTGCGCAATTATGTCTGCAGTTGACTGAGCCCTTGGCGCAATTTCACCCGCAGCTTACATATGACAGTTGTTGCTGAATATTTATTTGTGTCTGTTGGGCTCCCTCATGCAAAATTGACTGATATGGATGCATGGTTATTATTCTAACTGCATGAGTATGCAAAATCCTCAGCGGTTGAATACTCGGTCACAGTTCGCAGGTGTGGCGCTCTTTCGCAACATTCATTGGTTTAGGCTTCGTAACAAAATACGAACTTACCTGTTGGGTCATTCAGTGAAATGAAGTGACAAAACTAATTGCCATGGTTTGTAAAACAACCACTGTGGCATAGAACGAGGGCAGCGAATAGGTATCAATATCAGTTGTTATTATGAAATGTGCGTACGCTAATGTTTCAGATATCTGCACACAAGCATTGCTCCAGAGGCACGTGTTCACAAAAAAGCCAAATAATGACAGGTTTAAATGGAGATTACTCTTTCAGCAAAGCCTTAGTGATGAGGTACCTAACAATGTGAACCTCCATGTGAACTAGCTGAAGCGACATCCCTTAGCTTGAATGTGATCACATAAACATGTTTGGTTTGGTGAAATACATTATTAATAAAGATGAAAGCTTAAACATGTTTGAAAACCACTGAATATATTAATAATAACTAATTAGGGGAGAAACTAATGTGTTTTCAATGTAGAGCTAGATTACCTGTAGATTTAACCGCGCTAAGTTGAATTTGGAACCGACGCGAATTTGGAATACTCCCAAGGATTGAAAAAAGTAATATTCTATGAATATTGGCTTCCGCGGGGGTGCGGCTGTCAAACCAGCTGTTTGAATCAGAGGGGGTTTATTGTGATTTGATAGCCTCTGACTGACCAATCAGAAGCGAGTAATTTCAAAATTCATGGTCGAATTGGAGTTAACAGCTGAAGTCACAGTTGAGTGATGTACTGTGATTCAAAACTGCATAGTGAGTGAGTGAGTGAGTTTAACGCTGCCTTTAACAGTATTCCAGTTATATCGTGGCGTCAGCTTAATGTGGCAACCCGTGCCCCCCCCCCCCCCCCCCCCCCCTTACACTCATCGACAGGTGCTACTAAATGTATCCATCTGTGCTGGTGTGACTTCATTAGGCAATACAGACTGTATCTGGATGAGTAGTTATCATTCTAACTGCGAAGTTAGGCAACATCCTCGAAAGTAGAATACTCGGTCCAATTCTCCAATAGTGCCATTAGCTCGCCAAATTCATTAATCAAGGCTTCTTAATAAGATATGCACTTACCCTTTTGGTCAGTCTGTGAAATGCAATGACCAAAGTCATTGCCATGGTTTTCAAGACCACCACTGTGGCATAGAACGCAAAGTAGGGGAACACGGGATTGTCGAACACACCAGCCATTCTGAATGATTTCTCAACAACTAAAACACGCTTTGCAGTGAGCGCTGTCGGACACCCACGTGACTGCATGTGTAATCACATGACTTGACAAAATATAACCCGTATAATCACATTTGCTATCCACTTTCATTACCTCTGATTTAAACACAATCCATTGGACGCAAAATAGTTCACATGTTGTCTTAAATCTTTCTTTTTTTGTTTGTTTATTTATCGCCGTACTAAGTAATATTCCAGTTTCAAAGTTGTCTGTACATAATCGAGTCTGGTCCAGACAAGATATGCAGTGACTGATACAATGAGCACCGTCTCACGCCGTCGGGGTACTAAATGGTCCTCAACAGCAATGCTTGTCTCCCCGTAGATAATGCGGGTCAGAATAGATCCTCAACACACATAATGGTAGTTAATTGTTACTTGATTGTCCCAGAATCGGCAATCAAACTAGTTCTAGTGTAGTGTGTGAGTGAGTGAGTTGGGTTTGGCGCCGCCTTTAACAGTATTCAAGTTATATCACGGCGTGTCAGCTTAATGTGGGAGGAAAGCCCGAAGTGATGCAGGTCTCAGACGTTTACCACTTCGATGAAACCCACGAGCACGGGTATGGTGCTGACAAACCTAGAAACATCATCGGGGCGAACCGGGATTCGAACGAACCACAATCATAGGTTGCTGGCGTGCCCAAGGGTCGCAACTTTGCACAGCAAATCGCGGAACATTAGACGACTTGGCCATCCGTGCCCCCAGTTCTAGTGTAGAGAATACCACACCAAAGAACTATTTTATAGGTCTTCAACAACCTCTGCTTACCGTAAGAGGCGACTAACGGGATCGGGTGGTCAAGCTCGCTAACCTGATTGATGCATGTCATCGTATCCCAATTGCGTGGATCGATGCTCATGACATCAACCACTGGATTGTCTGGTTCTGTCGCGATTATTTACCCAACATGGGTACAATGTGTGAAGCCCATTTTTGATGTCCTCCCGCCCTGTTATTGCTGAAATATTGCTAAAAGTGTCGTCAATCCAGAATTACTATGTGAAAAGTAAAAAGGCGCCTTCAAGACTAATTTAAACAATCCATTTCACGAATAATGTGAAAAATCCGCTTCAAGAATACATGTATTGTGAAAACTCCACTTCAAGAATAATGTGAAAAATCCACTTCAAGAATACATGTTTTGGGAAAAATCCACTTCAAGAATAATGTAAACAATCCACTTCAAAATTAATGTAAAAAAAGTAATCTATTTATTTTACGCTCTTCGGCAAAAGGAATGGCACACCACAAAATACGCCCTCGACTGACAGCCCCGGGCGATGCGTGCACTTGCACAGAAAGGTGTTGGAAAAGAAGACCGGTCTCTGTTTGTCTGCACCAGGCAACATGGAGTATAGCTGGGTAACTTGGTACATGAAGTATTCGATCAAATATCTGGAGAGTGACATTCAACTGGTTGGGCTTACAAGACAAAATGTGCGCTTTCAGGTTTTTTAGTCATTCTGTGAAATGCTGTGACAAAACACATTTCATTGTTGTTTTTTAAATAAACACTGTGAATATAGAAAGCAAAGTAGGGGAACACGGGATTGTCAAATACACCAGCCATTTTGATTAGTTTGATTTTTTACAGAAAACAGTTTTATTTGAATCAAGTTGGGGAAAAGTGATACTTGTAAAAACATTTGCCCCCTGCTGTCAAAAAAAGTTAACTACGGCCTTCGACACAGATAAGGGTGAGCGCAGAGTGACTGCATGTCTTCTAAACACCGAGGCGATACACAACTGTAACTTGTCTCAACGTGCGATTTATAATCATCACATTTAAGGTTTAAACAGACAATGACGGAATTTGTTACAGAATCACAATCATCCAGTACCGCTAAACAACTCGACAGGGATCCACATGGAACACAACTTTTAGGAACAGTTGGCGTTCTGCGTGCACCGGAAGCAATCTGACGTGGAGAGTGACGCAATGCACGTGCATTTCAAGCACTGCGTGTATTCGTCAATGCGCCACGTGGACCCCACCGTGCTGCCCACGAGCAAAACTACCACCCCTGCTGTTATCGACTGTGCCGTGGTTTATTCATAAGTTATCGTAGGGAGTTGCACGTTTGCAATATCTTCGTGTGAGTGAGTTTGGTTTTGCGCCGCTTCAAGCAATATTCCAGCCACATCAAGGCGGGGAACACCAGAAACGTGTTTCACTCAGTGTACGAATTCAGTTAAATAGGAACTAATTTTAAAATCACCTGGCATCGCACACAAATGAATGATCCTGCCAACCCCTTTCGGTACGTGGATCTATTTAGAGTATTCGGTAGTTAGCAGTGTAGTGAGCGGGACGCAAATAAAATCGTATTTGATATGGAGATACATAATTTAAAAATAAAATAATGATGTACGTAAACATTTGCTCAATGCTTTTGAGATAAGTGTAAGTAATAGTGGGGGTTCTTGGGAGGGGGGAGGGTGTTGACACCTTCATGAATCTTATATGTACATATTAACAGATGTTGTACAGACGAAATATAGTAAAATCGTATCACCTGTATAAGTTTAATAAGATTTACCTTTAAGGTCTAGGCAGATTCGAGTTATCACTCTGTCATCTTCGGATAATTCGACACGTATTCCAAATGACTTCGACTCAGCAATATTCCAGCTATATGACGGCTGTATCGAGTCCGGACAAGACAATCTAGACTGACATTTAGTCCCAGATATAAAGTTTTCGTAACTTAGAATATATATCTACAAATTAAAAACAATTCTAATCCAAATGGTTCCGAGAACAATGCTTAATGTCTGGAGCTGAAGTAATCTAGACTTGCCAAATCATTCTAGGCTTAAGTCGGACTTTTTTATTTATTTATTCTCAAGGGTCTGGGAGACAGTCTACACACAATCCAGTGATGCGCCACGAGCCAGCTGTTGGATAAGTTCACAAGAGCCAGTCTCCTGTAACGATGACTACTAGCATCGGTAGTTTGAGTTGAAATAAAACACATATTATTCCATTTAAATCTATGAGACTGAATTCTTTTTAAGAAAAACACCTTGCAACAATGTCATTTTTGTGGCAAGCAATTTCTTTCTTTTTTTCAAAGGCCTGAAGCAAAATTAAAAAATTCAAACATTTTCAGGTACAATATATTTCTTTCGATAAAAACCCAGCCCACTACCCCAAGAATATAAAATGGTCGATCCCTCCCGTTCCAGCGGCTCTAGGTATAGATTTAGCTCATTTGGTGCGAGGACCCGTAAGGATCCGGGGAATATTAGGTCTTCAGCATCCCATGCTTGTCGTAAAAGGCAACTATGCCTGTCGTAAGAGGCGACTAACGGGATCGGGTGGTCAGACTCGCTGACTTGGTTGATGCATGTCATCGATCCCAATTGCGTGGATCGAGGTTGATGATGTCAATCACTGGATCGTCTGGTCCAGACTCGATTATTAACAGACCGCCGTCATATAGCCGGAATATTGCTGAGTGCGGCGTTAAACAACAGGCAAACAAACAAACAAACATTTGGTGTACGTTAGCTTGGCTTGCTGAGCCGTAGTATTATAACAACTTACATGCAAGGCATTGAATACGGCTTAATGTCAAGTTGAAAATATTATATTATATTTAAGAATATATCTCGCTTATGGTTAACGGTTGAGGGTGGCTAGAAGCGTGTACGTGCATGTTCCATTCTCCTGGAAACTTCTTACGCCCACGAGTTTAAAACTTTACTCTCTGCTGTGTTTGCCAGCAGTCAACAGCGTTATTTAACCCCAAAATACACTCATGCTTTTTTGATAATGTAAACACTTATTTCAAAATACAAGTGTTTTATATGGAATGTTGTAAGGGACATTCTCGAGTTTTTGAAGTCAGTTCAAAATGAAAAAAGTATGAGTATGTTTTAGGGGTACACAATGCTGTTGCGTATTGCCCGATACCACAGCAGTACCCAGTCGTCCAAGGTGCCAGAATTTGCTAAGCCGTAGTCGAGCGCCTTAGTCGTACCAGAAACTTAAATCGTGCGTTTGAATCCCGGGTTAAAGTGAGTGAGATACAAAAGTGCTTTGCAGAGTATTTCAGTTATACACTGTGCAGAGTTGCCTCCCCTGCTTCCCTAAGACATGTCAAGAGAACGCCCTGATAATGATCTCTGGTTTGTCAACATCTTACCCGTGCTCGTATCACCAAAGTGACACGTTGTGATATAACTGGACTGCTGTTCAAAGAGCATTTAACTTGTAAATGGTGGGAGGTTGGGTGGCTTCGTGGATAAAGACATTTTAGTGGTTCAACTGTTTGTTCGGTACAAATTATTGAGAGAGAGACTATGAGACTTACATTAGAAAAGGACTCGACAATGAGAATCTGTTTTTTATTGTGGAATCTCCATTGGCAATAAGTTCAAGGTCATCCGTGTAAAAGAGTTGAGTAAGGGGTGTTGGGGACCTGTGCTGAGGAGGTCCAGGGTGATAACCTTCCTCTTTGCTGAGCAAAATCTTAAAGGATTTAGTGACAATCGGAAAAGCAAAGAACTGAAAGGATCGCCTGGAAATATTCATGTTCTAATAGAAATGGTTTCCGAAGGCACCACCTGTCCTTGCGAATACATCTCAAGTTGAGTTGACCAGCATTTCACTAAAGACTTAAACAAGTAGTCGCGCGGGGAGGTCAGTACATTCCAATGACCTCAAAATCCATTCGTGAGGCACAGAATCATAAACTTCTCTCTAGTCTATCCAACACATTGAGAGGATATGGTGGTAAGTTTTAGCCTCTTGGGGGATAATGTTCTGAACCAGCAATTGATCCTTACAACCCAAGCATCCCTTTCTGCCTCCTTTCTGTTCCATGTAAATAATGGCTTGAAACGCTCTATGATGACACCCTTTCAATATTTGTACTGTGTATTCAGACAAGTAATAGGGCGGGCGTTTTGGGGATCAGTCAAATCACCTTTCTTTGGGAAAAGTATTGTTCGACCTTTGCACAACCAAAGCGGAATATCCTCTGTATCGACATGAGAA